GGAAAACCAGGCATTTAAACCAAGAATTTAGATTTTTTCTGCTTAGCCCTTCTGGGGGCTTCCTAACCAAATTGTTCTTGCTCACTCATATTTTTTCTTTCCCTCAGCTTTCCTATTTGACTTTACAATCAGATCCAAAATCAGAGCCATTACCTACTGCAATTGTACTGTTATTTTCTGTCAGTTTCCTGTGTACCTTTCTAAAGAGGAAGTTTTTTAAATAACAATGGTTTTTTCCCCCATAGCCAATATGTAGGACACAAAATAAACATTTGAAACTTCTTTATCAGGATATTGTTACTTTTCAGGAGGTACTTGAAAAGGTCCCCATAAAAGTTTTCAGCAGCTTCTCTAAAAGAGCCTCCAAAAAAGAGGGTTTTTTGACCTTATCTAAGATTCAGAGTAGATTTTTTTTCCCCTCTTTTGGATGGTTGGTAGGGGTTTTTTTGGGCTGATTTTCTTTTTACCCTCACTCAGATTGATCTAGATAAGCTCTACCTCAGTCTCTGTGACATCTAGAAATGTGTATTAATTATAAACCCTTTCTTGCCTTCACATGCACCATATTCCATGATATGGTAGTAGGGACAACCATTCAGGGACCAAGGGAAGACTGGTTGCTTTTACTTTCTTTGAAATAGGACAAAGAGGTGTTTCAGGGAAGAAGGTGTTTTTCTTTTTTCTCCTGGAAAGAGGAACAAATTTTCAGCTACAGTAGCTCAATATCAATGTTAATTTTAGGAAAAGTTATCCATATTCACAAGATTACTTATGGAAAAAAAAAATCCAAAGAAACTGACGAAAGCATTTATTTCTGAAGGTCAGCAAGTATCAAAGCAGTCCCTACGGGATGCCTTTGACTTTCCACAGTCTGCAGTGAGAACTCTGGCTTTTGCAATTTCCATTAAGCAGCCTTGTTTGGCTTTCTAATCATCTGGACTTCTTCCAGAAATCAAAGCCAAAGTTGAGATCCTCCTTTTTTGAAGGAGAAAGTCTTTTTAGCACACCAAGTACATTTTGAATGCACACACTGAATATGTAGACAGGTCTCAGAATTCAACAACAGTGCATGAGAAAGCCAGACAAGTGTCACTGATGCTACCAAAGTCATGAACATTCCTTCTTCTCTCCTCTACTACAGCATTCCATCCAGTGCCTCCCTCCTGCCAGAGCAAAGCTAAGTGTTCCAGGCCTTTTTAGATCTGAAAGGCTGCTCTAGAAGTACCAGTCCTGCTCTTACAAAGCATTGTTTATACCTACCTTCCTTCTCAATTTGCTATTTATACAATGACCTTTCAACTGGAAAGCCAAACAGTGCATTTTTCTATGTTGTCTCCCAAGATGGGAAATGCAGGAACCATCTGAACAAAAAAAAAATCCAATACATTTCTAGTTTTTCCTAGGTGAACTCTACCTATTCTTACACCCTCTGCCTACCCTCTCAGTGTCCTCAGAGTACCTTCAGAGGCAATGTTGCAGGGCCAGGCACAGACACAGGCAGTGACATACTCTGACTCCCCTCCTACCCCTCAGTACTTTGGGCTGATATTCTTCTGTCCTGTCCCCTAACATGCATTAGGCACATTTACCTCTACAAATTCCCAGGCTGCTGGGTAAGAGCTATTCTCTCATTCCTATTGCTGCTTTTGCGTGGAAGCGTAATCCTAAAAGAGCAATATCCTGGGTACTCCAGTGAAGCCTCTTGTGCAGCTGCCTCTTTGGTTAGTGCTTCTTACTAGCCAAGTGACCTTCAGTCTTCCCTGTAGCACCAACTTAGGAGCTACCTTACTGGTTATACATTCACCCTCCTCCTTACGAGATGACCAGAATTCTATAATCAACCATCTGAGCCTGGCAATGTCCTAGTGGGAGGGACAGTGTTTCCCCATTTCTCTTCATTCTGTGTTCAGGCTTTTCTGGCTTCAGAACCACAGCCTGACAGTGCTGCTGGTAAGCAGTCTGCCAAAAGGGCAAGTGGCCTCCTCCTTGTTCCTTTTCCTCATATAGTTAAAAATCACAGCTTTTGCTGCCTTACTGATTTTACAGATCAGTGTCCTTTGCCATCCTCCCCATATCATACTCATTCTTTCTACCCAGATAACTCCATTCCCCCTTCCTCTTTTCTCACAACGTCTGTTCTTCTGCAGCATTGCAGAACTTTGGGTTTGCTCCACTGAATGGTTTCAGCTTTCTCCTGACACTCCTGTTTTTCCTTTCTGGATCATAGCCTTGAATTTCAAAAACACATTCTGCATTTAGTTTGGGCTAAAATTCATACCACTTAACTTTAAATATCTGAAATTCTGCATCTAGCCCAGACAGTTGCTTACCAGAGGGCCCCCTGGAGTCTGCAGAGGGGAGAAGGACCTTCATAGAGCAATCCCTCCTCCTCTAAGATAGTTTTCTAGAACAAACAGGATGAATCACACTGTGAAAGAGCCCATTAGGGCAGTCTGGCTAGATGGGAATACCTAAACTGCTTCAAGCTATAAGTTATCTTCGTGGCTTCTTTCCAGCATACTTTTAAATCTGCCTCAGTTATACTATTATCTTTAGTTTCACCTTAAATCCTTTAGTCTTACATGAGGATCACTTGATATTTCAAGAATCAGAGGTTCTGTTGAATATCCCCTCAAGTAAGATGCACACCCCAGGTGCTCAAAATCCCCACCCCCTTTATGCGTCCTCTCTTCTGGAAAACCTACAGCACTGCTTCAAGATAGATGGCTCCTACTGATGTGGGAGCCGTCATCATCTTTCCTTTTAGTCCTTAGACTACAGGAAGGAATGATGAAAGCTCTCCAAACTTCCTACACTGAACTCCTACACCACCTTCCTTATTTCTTCTAAGATCAGTGTCATGGCAACTAGCACTTCTCATCTTTCCTTTGTAAGCTGATGAATTGGTTTAGAGGCACTCCATTACCAATGCTCTTTATTTGCATTTCTCTAAAATAAGTTGTGTTGCTCTGAAAAGCCTGAAAGGTTTTAGCAAGTGCTGAATAAACTAAGTAGTTCATGTATAAATAATATATCAGCTATCACTACATTTTTAATGGATGCATCATGAACGTATTTTTAGACAGCTTATGTTATTCAGAACGGCTCTGGCATCTGCTTCCCAATCCCATATAAGCAATTCCAGTTTCACAGTTCTGTGTCCATCTAAAATATTAGACATGAACTACTTGGACATGGCTTTTTCAGCACTGTCTCCAGTACAGCTTCACTGTTGAGCAGGAGACCATCCCACTACACAGGCAGCCTGTGGTGGGATGGCTTCAGGGAAAAGGTGTTATTGGATATTCTCACATACTTCCTCCAGACTTATCCACCCATATATTCTTAAAAAGGCCTATTATGCATTAGAGGTATCAGTGTAAATCAGATTACCTGCTGACGAGAGCTTCTCCTTCTCCCTACCCTCATGAAACCAGGGGCACAAGAGGCATTAGGAAGTGTAAAAGTCAGTCATGGGGTAGTCGAGTATGAAGCCACCTGCACAGGGAGCTGTCCCCTGCCCTGTTAGTCACTGGGGAGTCAAGCATGAGAACCACCTGCTCGAGGAGCTGTCCACTGCCTTGCAGGGACACAGTCACATGGGCTACAGCTCTAGAAACGCAGCGTTCTGAAGCTCTCAAGCCCTTTCAAACTCAGCAAGCAGCTGAGCCATACCCATTTCTTGTCCCCAAAGGCTGTCACTCACGCAGGGCCAGGCCAGCCCGCCAAGGCACCGGCTCTCGCCTCCCCACTTACTCCTCTTTGCGGTGAAGCTCCTCCTCGGACTCGCTGAGCCGCTGCTTTAGGGCTGCGATCATCTCCACGGCCACATCCACCTGCCTGCTCAGGGCCCGCTCCCGCCGCTGCACCTCCTGCTTCTTCTGGGACAGCTGCACGAACGCCGCCCGCACCTCCAGCAGCTCCGCCGTCTTCTGGGATAGCTCTTTGGTAAGCTTGTCGATCCGCTTCTCGATCGTTTTGTCCACGGCCTCCACCATCCTGTTAAACTTTTCCCGGACATGTGCCTCGAAGGAGGCTTTGGAGTCAGTGGCCGGGAGCCCGGGTTTGGACACCTGCTCGCTGGGAGACTCAGCCGACACATAGTTGGCGAGGTAGGCGCCGGGGCGCTCCGCGGGCAGCTCCCGCGGCTGCCCGCCCTTCCCGCTCCCGCAGGACGCGCCGCCCAAGTTCAGGAAGGGCCCCGCGGAGCCGCCGGGGCTCCCCGGGCTGCCCTGGGGCGCGGGCTCCGGCGGGGACACCAGCTCCGCATCCTTCAGCGGCGAGAACAGGCTGCTCCTGGCCAGCAGGCTGCTCTCCTGGAAGCTGTGGCTGTACTCCAGGTGCACCCGCAGGGAGGACAGGCTCCGGAACCTGGTGTGGTCGCCGCATCGCGGGCAGCGGAAGGGGAGGCTGACGCTGCCGAGCGGCTCCGGCCAGGGGTGCCCGCCTTCATCGCGGGCCGTCTGTTGCATTCCTCGCCGGGAGGGAACAGCCCGCGTCCGCGCCCGACGGGGAAACTTGGGAAACTTTCCCGGCGATCCCTCAGGGGTGCCGCGCCATCTCCGCCCGGGGACGCGCCCGCCCGGCGCGGCGCTCCAGCCGCCCGGCCCCGGCGGCTCCGCCCGGCGCGGCTCGGAGGGCTCCGCTCGCCTCGGCCGCCGCACGGGCCTCGCCGGAGCGGGCAGGGCCGGGCCGGGCTCGGCGCGGGCCTCGCCGCCCGCAAGGTCGCCGCACTCACCCGACTTGTTGCTGGCGGCGGCGGCGGCGTTTTCAGCAGAGCCGTAAATCAGCCCGGGCAGGCGCCGCCGCCGCGGGGCGGGGGCGGGCGGGCGGGGATGGGCAGAGGGGACCGACGGGGATGGGGATGGGGACGGGGATGGGGACGGGGATGGGGACGGGGATGCGGAGCGGAGCTGCCCGGCGGGGATGCTGCGGGTGGGCGTGGGCGGCAGCACCCGGCCGGGGCCACGGGGCCGGGGTCGCTCCCCTCCTCCGCCTGCCCCTGCCTGCCGTGGGCACCGGGCCGAGGGGTCCGCGGGGGGGGTTGCGGGGCAGGAGCGGCCACAGCAAAGCAGTGAGTGAGCTGCGCTGGGTGTGTCGGGGCGATGCTGAAGGGTAATGCAGTTAAAAGCATTTAAGCGACAAGACACGACTGGCACGTGCAAATAGGTATAACCTGGCCTTGGCTTTTGGGGAGTATAATTGTTTCTGTGATTTTAAATCTATATTTACAAGCCAGAAAGTTTCGTGAATTTTTTGTTTATTTCTTTGGTTGGTTTGTTTTTTTAATTTTTTTTTTTTTTAAATATGACCCTAATTTAGTCTCAGTATTTAGGGAGGGGCAGCAGTAATAATGGGATTTCAATCTGGAGTATGAGGAATGGATGTCATAGACTTACAGAATAGTTTGGTTTGACCCTTAAATGCCATCTAGTCCATCCTCCCTGCAGTGAGCAGGGATATCTTCAACTAGATCAGGTTGCTCAGAGCCCTGTCCAATGTGACCTTGAATATTTCCAGAGATGGGGCATCCTCCACCTCTCTGGGAACCTGGGCTAGTCTCTCACCACCCTCCTTGTACAAAATTTCCTAATTATCTACTAAATCTAAAGTCTGAGTCCTCTCTAGGTCTAAATCCATGTGACTGATATTAGAGTACATTGCCAACATGTTCTCTCAATAGGGAAATATGCTTCTAAACTTTTTTTTATTCAACAGATGTGTTTCTATTTTTATAAATTTTTGGAAACATGAGCAAGGCTGATTGTAGAGTAGCAGCCTTTTTGAGGTAATAGTGAAATATTGCACTTCCAAATTCTAGTGCTTGAGGCCATAGTGGTAATATGCTGCAGATTCTTCTTATTACTGTGGGAGAAAGCACTGCAGTAAAGTTTAGTTCTATACTGTTATGTCTGTTTCTTGAGTGCAATATACAGGCAGAGTCCTAAACACTGAGAAAATCTGAGCACATTGATAGATGCCTTTGATGTGATTAAGACATTCCCAGTAAATTATTCACCAGATGGCACATCAAAGGAAATTACTCAAATTGCATTTCAGAGCTTCAGCTAATCTCTGAAGTGTGTGGGCTACCATCCAGGCTGCAACATTTTGCATGAGTTAGTTGTCCTGTATCACCTTGTCTAAATGTGGTGATTTTCTCTTCTTTTGTCCTCAAGCAGTACCAAAAACGAGAAGGGAGGTCATGAGGGAATGGTTTTGAATTGTTTGTCTCCAGATTCGGGGCTCCTGACTGTTTGTAGGAGACCAACGGTGGCAGGATGTGACCCTGCTCTGATTCCAGTTCTCTTGGTTGTTGTCCTCTATCATCCATTATCTTTCTCTGTTGTGCCCATAGCCTTCCTACCTTCTCCCCATATCAGGGGAAGGTGCCTGGGGCTGATGCTCCAAGGTGTAGACGGATGCTGTACGAGTGAGGTGAACTTAATGTGATGGGATGTTCCTGAGGCTCCATCCACATTTAGAAGTGCTGACACCCTCCTACTCTCTCCAGCTGATGGTAACAAGAGCCCTCATGGTCTTAGGAACAGAAAATGTTGATGAGTTTGAAGGAGCCAATTGACCTGCAGCCTCAGCTACATGGGTTTGGATTGTTAGATCTGAAATCCATCAACCATCTAGTCCCAGCAATTCTTTCAGGATTTCTCAGGGTTTACTTTGCTCTAAATATTTGTTTTGCTGGACTGGGATCCAGCTCCTCATCTCTTCAGCGTTATCTACTCCTGATGCTCCCATTTGGACACTCAGTTCAGCTTTTCTCTCAGCATTTGGATAGGAACAGCCTTCCTTTTACGTACCAGTAAGTGTGCATTGCACAGTGGAGGATGTACATCAACCATTGTATGTCTGAGCTTCATCCTCTGTGATTGGAATCTGGAGTGGGTAGGATCTAACACCATCACTAACACAAAGCCCAGATTGACACAGCCATAATGCGTGACTCATTTGTGAAATTTTGCCAAGTGCTGGGGAGGCATTATCCAGTTTATTTCTACGCATCTCTCTCTTTCAAGATCTGTTTAAACACTTTGCAGTATGATTTGCAGAAGGATAAAAGTTACTTAAATAAAACCAGCATGTACCAACCTGCTGGTGCTGTAAGGAAGGTGGAATATTCATAATATTCAGCCTTTTTTTTCAGGTAGTGGTCTGTATCTGTTGTGGAGGTCCCATCTGACCTCTTCCTATTTTGCGGGTTCCTACAAGCTTAAAAATCACACTTCAAAAGTGAAGTAAATTTTGTTTGACTCATAATTCCGCTTTACTGAAGGTGGATAGAAAAGGGAGTGTTATAAAACCAGTTTGCATTTCAAGAGTTACTGTAATTGTTTATCTTCTGATTATTTTTTTTCTCATGCTAAACAAGGAAAATAGGTGAGTCAGTTTTGTTTTCATTTGCAACCACTTTTCCCTTCAGGCTTGCAGTGTTGACATGTTTGAGGGGGCCTTTTTTATGTGGTGTAGAACTGGATTCGCTGTGATCACTTTGGCTTCATCCAGCAGCCTCTGATTTCCTTGTTTGTGTACCAGTTGGCTTTTGAAAAAGGGATGTCAGAAATTTTTGCCTCTCCCCTTCACGCCCACGCTCCCCACCCAGGTCTTCCTTGCAGGATCCAGCTGGTTCATAGGAGACATGGATCTGCACAGAGTTACTCTTGGGGCGGTTTTACTGAACTATATATGGGCATAAAAAGACACACAGCTGCACATCCGTTACCAGTGCATGCAGAGGGAGTTGGGAGCACAGTCTCCCCATTCTGTAAAAGCTGGGCCTGAAATAGGTGTGTCTGTTCAGCTCAGCTGGTTTGTATGCTGGGAAGTGCTGTGTTTTTCTTGGTGTTTGAGCATGGACCACAAATGCACATGATGACCTGAACTGCTGAAACTTACCTGCGTTTAGTATTTAGTATTACTATCTTCAGTTTACTGGGAAGAAGTAATGAATGAGTACTGAAATCTAAGGAATGACCTTAGAAACTTTTAAGAAGTGTTTTAGTGACTTTTATGGTAGTGGTGCCTTAGGCTGGGACTCGTATTAGCTTTGCATGTAGATCTATTCAGAGTTTATCAAACATACAATGTTTATTTTGCTACCACAGCCACTCGTACCCTCCAAGCAGGAAAGAGACTTTTGGTGGTGTATTTTAGCTACCAGGTTGCTGTTCCCAGAGCTCTTCTGAAATGAGACAGAATCTGCAGCAGAAAGGGTCATTTGTTTTTGAAAGAAGCTGCCCCCTTCCAAAAAAGAGACTGAAAGATGGAAAAAAACCATGTCAAGATGTCTTTAAAGAAAGATGTCTCCAATTGGGTTTCTCCAAAAGCAAAGCCTTTCCCTCATTGGGACTTATTAAAATAGAGACATTTTCTCTAAAGAAAAGAAGAGCACAAAGCCTCCCATCAAAGCAGAATTTCAAGCAATTTAATTCAGGGATAGCATTCTTTCTGCAACAGGCACTGGATGGTAAGGAACATCACGTTTAAAAGTTCATACCACATGCCTTCCACGTTTGAGGAGCTGTGTCTGAAATAAATCATGCTGATTTCCCAACTGAAAAAAGTGCCCACAAGGCCATAAAAAGCCTGAGAATTGCCATCTATATTTAATTAGCTGATTCGGTTCCTAATCCTATGCACTGGGGTTTGAAAAGTTTTTAATTTACATAAGCAGAGACGTAAAAAGAACAGTGTTAAGTTGTGGTGGCAAATTCAGTCCTCTGCCATATTCCAGCCTGCGGGAGAGCAGTTCCAGCCCTGTGGGTAGCAGTGGGGCTGAGCTTCCCCTGCCCCTATTCTGCCACATCCCTGACATCTGTGCCAGGACTCCAAGGGTTCAAAGGTCACTGAAAGCCTAAAAGGTCACAAAGAGGTCAAATGACACCAAGAAGTCAAAGGTCATCAAAAGGTCAAAGGTCACAAAAGGTAAATGTGATCCAGAGGTCACAGGTCAAAGACTTTTTCTGGGGGATGCACTTTCTAATATGGCTGATATTAAAGCCCCAGTAATGGAGAGAAGAGCCTACAGCTCACCCCATTTCAGTTTTATTTTATTTGAAAATGTTGCTTGTTCCCAAGCAATCAGGCCAGCTAGTGCTGTCACACAGTCTGACATGGGTATGGGATCAACAGGAAATGACTGCACGAGCAAGCAAGCTTCCACACAACATCTGACCATACAAACGTATCAATTCAAGTGTACAAAACCCACAGTTCCTCTGTCCTTGCTCTTCCTAGAAATTAAAATATCAATAAGAATGATGATAGACTCTTGCACAATAATGTGCCCTCTGGAGTTTCAGTTAACAGAACAATTGCCAGGTGCTGTTTGGAATGAAGCACTGGAAAGACAGTGTCTCGGAAGTATTTATGGTCCTTTCAATTCCAATTCAATTTTGATTCAGATTTCAATTCAATTTCAAATGTCCTTTAGGCATTTTCTGTATTCAGATAAGATTTTTTTAAATCACAAAGAAAATACCATTATATTTACTGTGTGGTTATCTGTACTAATATGACTTAAAGTGATTTAATTTTCTTAAGTAAAATCTTGAGTTCATTTTGGTTCCTACAGCCAGGGGCTTCAATGCACCTCGGAACTGGCCTTTTTGCAGGAACCAGAAGCAAAGTGCCCAACGCTGGGCGATGCAGTCAGTAGTTCTGTGTCCACCTCTGCCTGCCAAAGAGCTACTGGGATGGGCTGCTTGGTCTTTAATCTTAACTTACGATTTTTCAGGAACGCTAAATCTGGGGCACTTTTCTGCACATAATGTGGTAACTCAGAAGGAACACAGAGGGAAAGTATACTAAAAAAATACCCAGACCATGGAGCACCAGTACACAGCATTTCTTTCAAAAGGAGGAAAACCAAAACAAAATGAGAGGAGGGGGAAGAAAAAGCCTGTTTGTGCAATAAAAAGTGTTCTTTTTTATTTTCTGTTTACTATTATACAATGGTAATAAATTCAAACCAACAAGGAGACCTCAGCTCGGATTCAGAAGAATACTGACAAAACTTAGTAGAATGCTACAAACATTTCTGGAACCTGAATGCAGTTGTTTCTAGTCCCTGAGAAAACTTGGCTCTGCAGCTTCTCGCACTGATGTCACATATTCCATATACCAAATTCTTTCTCTGCTCAGGGTACCTGCACCCCAAATACCACAGAGTAACACAGAGGACAGTTCAGACTTGCATCTTTAATGCCATCTGAAAGTATATTGAGTTTATTGGATGTTTAGGGTCAACTTGCTTCTATTCCTTCATGCTCTTTCCTCTTTTCTGATACTCATGTGAGCAGTTAATTTTCACCTTTGCATTACATGTAAAGGTCTGTAGGATCAGCTATTGCTGCCCTGGGAGAATGATTGGCTGGAGATTTCTGCAGCTGGGCAGGACACTGAATGGGGGTATTAATGGAGCTTTCATAGCTTGCTGTAGAAACAGGCCTTTATTTAGATCTAGTATTTTGTGCCAAATGACCTATGTTAAAGCAATGTCTTGAGTAGTGCAAAGTGGGTAGTGAGTTTTTTGTCTTTCAAGGGACAATTTTATCTTTGTTGTTATAATAAATGCTACCTTTTGCAGTGTTGAGAGCAAGGTGATGGATCATCTTTAATACCACTTTGAAGGCCCTGCCTGTGAGCATGTGAGGAAGTTCTGTCAATGGTTTTATGCACAAAGAAGATTCTTTTCAAAAGAAGGCTCTGAAGTCAATGACATCACAGGGGCTAAAAAGTGCAGTGGACTAAAGATGTGTATGCAGGTAGCAAACAAACAGGTGACACCACACTCTGGGTAATTTAAAATTTAACAGATATACATCCTTGGAAAAATTAAATGAGTAAAAGGCACAGTCCCTGGGAAATATTATGCTCCTGCCACTGTCACATCTGCAGTGGAAACTTACACACACAATTTGAAAGATAAGTAACAGTTGATATGTAAAAAGATTCCTGAAAACAGATGTTTTCACGTGCATATCTCTCTTTCAGGCAGCAGATCTTGAAGGCTGTGTGCATAGATACTTCTTAGCTCCATCTGAGGATGGGAACTGAAAGAATGTGTCTTTACCTAAGGATAAAAACGTATTGTAGCATGTTGCTTTCTCTCTTTTTCTCAAATTTCTTACCCCCAGATGGCTGCTAACTCTATATAACTTACATCCAAGGATCCTCCCACAGGGAGCAGGAACTGAGCCCAAACTGATCTCATCCAAATGGGGCTGGGTCCCATCTCCAGACTGATGAATGCCTGTGTTAAACTCAGGTGAGCCTTCGCAGCATGCAGAATTCCCCCTGCAGTTTCTCTCCAAGGCTTACATGGAAGCTGCCATGCTATCCAGGATTAGAGTCAACTGCTTCTTCTTTCTTGAAACATTTTATCTTAAACTCAGGCTATTTGGTTAGATCAGTAAATTTAGTTTAGAAACGCCCAGAGGTCAAACCTCTGGCAACAAGGGAATGATTCACCTCTTACAGAAATAGGATCCCTCAGAGCCATAGCCTGGAGAAGCCTCTTTGCTATGGTCAAGGATGTAGTTGTTCTCCTCCAACCTGACAATGCCAGGTAAGGTAATTTGGAAGGAATACCTAAAAATCTGTGTGACTGGGGTGGTGATAAAAAAAACCCGTTCAGGTTAGTAATGTGTGTGCTGCCTGCACAAGTTCTGGGTGCTTCAGTGCCTGCTGATGCCAGTCGGCCATTTAAATCCATCCAAGAAGAGCAGGTACTTGTTTGTGTAGCAGGCAGAGGCAACAACACACATATGACAGTGAAACAACACATCCCTCACTTAAAAGTGTTGGAGAGACGTACATTTGGAGAGAGATTTGGAGCAACACAAAGGGCAGTTGAGGAGCAACAGCCCACTCATACCTTTTAAAGCTCCCTCCTGGGCTGGTGTTTTAAAGGTGGAAGTTAATACAGGCCAGGAGGGGACTCTGTGACAGAGCAGGGATATTTTTAAAAAATTAGGACTGTAGTGTGAGTGCCCACACTATGAGATAAATGAAGTAAAAATGGTCTCCATGTTAGGTAGCACCATGCTTTTTTGCTCATGCTTTCTCTTACAAAATCTAATGCCTTATCTGTGTAAGTAGGATGACTCAGTGTTGCAGAGATTGTTGGTGGACAGGGACATGAAAGACATTTCCCAGTAGGGAAAGAATAAAAGAAATGGAGATTTTAACTTGTTGGGTAAAACTGCCTTGGTGCGCAAACATGATTTTCACAAAAGTATTCAAGAATTATCTCAAACAGGTGATCCTCTCTGTCCCAGATCACACTTGGATAACTTCCCCTCTGGGTCTGCATTAGCTGTTGAAAGAACCTGTTATGAAAAATTGACTTGCTGTTTGTTGGTTTTTTCTTTAAACAGCCTGATTGCTTTTTGTTGACACTGTACAAACACACCATTAGAGTAAAGTGCTAGAAATAGCTTCCTAGAACTGAATTTGATTTTTAAAAAAGAAAGTAAATATGTGCATGTGTGTAAGTCATGCATGCATACAGGCAGAACTAGTTATTTTTATTCTTCCAGATTAAATTGTCTATAAAAACATAAGGTGCTACTGATTGTTACCATAATTTATGATTCAAAATGCTAATGGTGACATGAAGTGTTGTCTCAGCTCATTTAAAAAGCTGTAAGGTGGTTAGAAGGATGACAGAAATCTCTGACAAACCAACCTCAGGTAAAACACAGTTGCTCATGTTTGCTATTCAACCCCTTATTTTTCATTACGGTGAGGAAAAATGGATCATATTATTAGGTGAAAAAATACTATCATTAGCAAGAAATGTTTCCATCTCACGCTGAAGCGAGCACAAGTACAACCCAATTCCATCGTCTCCCATGGTTTGACTTCAAGGGGAAGTGGAGTAAGGGAAGAAATAGCTGGATTGGTTTTCCTCAGTGAAGCTGTGGGGAGTTTGAAGAGGTGTGCAGCCCATCACCTTGGCTGGGGGGGCGTTCCCAGGGCATAGTGTCCTTTGCAACAAGTGTCTCTCCTTAGATCTTTCTACCTTATAAAACAATATTTTAGTTCCTCCTACATGTGAATGGACAACTTCAATCCAACATTGCAACGATTTCAGCCTAAAATCATCACCTGTATAAAAGCTGTTGTCTCTGACACTGGGGTTATTCCCAGGAACAGCCTTACCACCCTAATGGGGTCCCGGGATCTTCCCTGCCATGGCAAATACTTTTTGTTACAATATGGCTCTTTTGAGGTTTTGTGGAAGCAAGTAATTTCACAGAGGTATTGAACTCCACACAGGGGCTAAGGAAGAGATTGGATTTAGGGGGAAGTCTGGTGGAGACGCAGGGACTAAGGATGCTCAGAATGGAAAATTAACTGTCAGATCTAAAAATTTAAATCTTCTTATCCCTATGGATGTATTTCTTTAATCTAAGCACTTGAGTGGATGAACTGCGCACTATTTTTTCAGTATCTATTTCTGTAAGAAACAGGACATAATTTGCAAGCCAGATTTTCCTTAGGCACCAGGGGTTTAAAACCTCTGATAGAAATTTCCAACCAGAAATGGTCATTATGTTGCACATATCAATAAGTATATTGACAGTATTGAGATGTTATTTGCTCTTTACTATTGTATTTTCATGAAATAACACTTACCTTAATCCTTCTTGCTTTGGCTTGCTCTTCCTTGCCCTGATCCATATGACAAATGTCTTTTTATGCAGCTGGAACCCAACTCAGGACTTAGAAAAATGCAGAAAAACTATAGCTCTGTGGCAAGGCAGGAAGAACTACAGAACTGCAGATGGTTATAGCCCCAAGTGTAACAGGGAAAACTATTGAGACAAGCCAATCTCGTACTGATGAGGAACATTTCTTGGGGCAAAGTGAGAGTTTGCAGTGAAGTATAGATCTCTACCCATGCTCCTTTGAATATCCTCCCTGAGACAGGAAAAAACCAATCCAAAAAGTGTGTGAAATGCAAAGAAATGCATTCACTAGTCCACTGGGCCATTGTGCCTCAGTTATCTGGGATAACAGCTGTCACCTCAAGATGTACCTGGTAAGGGACAGTCACAATTTCCTTCCACAGCACTGCTGCAGTGCAGGGGGAGCTTGAGTACCTGTGGCTGCACAGAGGGCAGCTTATGCTGCTTGGCCTTCAGAGCACGTTGCAGTGCCGTGTTTCTCTCCCTAGATACATACATTCCAGTACTTGGGAAAAATCAGACCAGACTACAGAATCACTTCAGGCAGAGACCATTTGCCAAGTGTTGTTTTCTGCAGAGATGTTCTAAGTCGTGTGGGAAAACCAGAGACTGTCTGCAGATACTTGGCTTGTATCTATCTCCAGACAAAAAAAAAAAAAAAAAGGAAAAAAAAAAAAAGACAATCCTACAAACTAACTTGGAGAATTGCTCCTTTTTACTGGGAGATTGCTGCAAGAAGTAGGCCTGCATCTGCTCTGCAAGCAATAAGTGGTAGTCCTCTGCCTATCAAAAGGAAGGTGATTTTCTGTCATTATTTTCTCATATAGGAGTCTATCTTTAGATTTGTGATATTCTCAATGCACTTATTCCCCCTTTCAAATTCAAAATGGCAATTCGTTTAAATGACCCCGTGACTTTTCACTTGCCTGTGCAATATCAATTGGGAAAAATCATAACAGACCTGATCCTGAAACCAGAACATAAGAATGGCCGGTTAGATTGTCCCATGGCAGAAACTGGTGACTTCAGCAGCTCGCTGCCCAGCAAACAGCTGGATGCAGCTGTCTCAGACGGATACTTTATACACCAAACGTCACCTCCAGGAAATGCACAAGAAATCAAAGCAGGACTGTGCACCCAACAGAGGAATCCTGGTCAAAGGCATGCTATGGCAGTGACAGTGTAGAATCTCTAGGAAATCCTTCTTGTACTGAACATCCCCTTAATATGGAGCAGCTGAAAGGACCTGTCTGGGTTTACCATAGCAGTGTCATCTTTGTGTGACCATAATTTCTGTGTGTGTAAATGTCCCCCTATTAGCAGTAGATCCAAACAGCCAATTTCAACCAACTTTGATTTTGAAAGGAACTAAAGATAATTTCATTCATTCAACAGCTGTTGAGATAGGAAGTAGAATTGAAAAGACAGACCATATAAATATCTAAACTCGGGGAAAGGGTGCAAAAACTCTTGCTTTGTTAGGCACTGTGTGTGCACATTGTCTTCTCATCTGGAGAAAGGCTTCTAGTGAAGCTGTCAATCACCAGTGAGGATCCTTGTCCAACAGGATACTTCTGATGGGTTTGATTCTATACCTGTGTGGGAACCACGTGTGAATTGGCTTTAAAACCGATGCCCCAGATCTCCAAGCAGACAAACAGGAACACATGTGACTGCCCTAACTCAGTTAACCATCCTTCATCACCTGTCTTGTGCAGGAGCAACTTTAAGACATAGAGGATGATCAAATTGCAGTTCAGTGTTTGATTCTTAAGGTTTTCAGGTTTGATCTCAGAAACTGTTTTCAGAATTCATATGGGGGTGGGATTTTTGTAACTTACAATTTATGTTATGAAAAGTATTTTGATTGCATTTATCTCATACATGGTGACTTAAAGAGGCTACAGCAATTTAATCTGGAGGCACTTTAGAATTGGATTGACATCAGGAATACTGTAATGAGTCAGTTTCTGGAATCTTATCTGGAAAAAGGAAAAATAATCCCTCATACATTTTTAGCCTTCTACGGTTTCTTTTAGAAATCCTATGGGAACACATAGCGATCAAAAAAAAATAGTTCATTGAAGCACCTGGCATCAGTATTTTGTTGATGGCATCATACAGAGACATGACCCCAGTGCCATTGGGAGCACTGGAGCAGTTGATGGCAGACTGCAGAAAATTAAAAAACCTTGAGCAGAAAGCTCTCAGGGTAAAATTAATCTGAGAACACCAGAAATAATAAGAGTTTATTCTAGGATGTTCTGGCCTCTGTGTCTGATTATCCAAGAAAGGTAAGGATGATACATCCTAGCTGATTTTGATACCTGCATGTTATAGGATGATGCCTTCAATGACTGGCTCCATGACTACTCCGGAGAAGACACCTCCTTCACACTGCTCAGGTAGATAAGATGGAGCCTACAAAGTTTTCTCTTGTCACTGATTTCACCTTGATGGAGTTGAGCTTTAGCTCACTGTCATTGGCCAGGTGATTAATGTTCACCTTATCTAATCAAAACTGAAAGTGAAGTTCATTACAGTAAGGTATTACCCATATTTGATTTGTTTTGTAGGTCTGCATGTTGCCCTTCTGCCCACCTACAAGAATGGAAAGACTTCAACTGACCTCAGCGGGATGAAATGAAGAAATGAGTTACTGAGGCTCCAGTAAGCGTTCAGGTAAACACCCTAAATTCCAGAGTCTCTGCCCATTTGAGCAATCTACAGTGGTCACACACCACAGTAATCAAAGTAAGTGGCAATCAATGGCAACAGTTTGCTTTTCAGTTTAAAATTAAATAAGTCAGTTATGAAAAGCCTTTGCAAATTCTTTCCCATGCGTCCAGTACAAATCTTCATATATTTCCATTTAGGATAAATCTGAAGAGGAATTGAATAGATTTTTGCTGGCACACTCTGACGATATTCAAGGAGTAGGTGTAGCAAGCTGTGGGAACTAAGAAATTAAGAAAAATACTGCAGTGCTGTCAAGAGTAGGTGTAGACATTTTGTACCTGCTAAACCAAAATGATGGGCCTAACGTTTAAAATAATATGCTGATCTAACACTTGAGCAGAACAGTGATTTAGATAGACAATGATCTTTCCTCTGCTATCCAGTTTCCCTAATACTAGAAGGAAGCCAAATGCTTTGCAATGCAAATAGAGTGGCAAATAAAAGGATGGTGTGATTCATCTGAAAAAAATGTTTCACTTAAGAAACCCCAGAAGGCAGGATATAAATCCCCTATTTAATTCACCTTACCCCCCCATTCTTTCTATCCTCTAGCAGCAGTGACTGTGCAGGATTTTCCTTGTTTTTGTAGGTTGTGCCTTGGGTTTCTTTGCCCTTCAGTGGAGGCTTGTCTGGAGAAAAAAACCCACATGGCTACAATGCTTCCTTTTTAATTGTTGCTGTCTGCTGGAATTACTCTTCAGTTAGGGAGCAGAATCGTTGCTAGCTGAATCCCAAATCTCTGGATAACATAGATGGCATAAAACTGTCTTCATTTTAAGTTGCTTTGTGTGCTGCAACAGCAGCCGGAGAGCGTTGTTGGAGTTGGAGTGAGGAGAGAACATCTCGCCTCATCCAAAACCTGCAGAAATGCCTTTTAAAGCCTCAGTCTCATGTTCCCTTAAAAGATAGAGTTACAAGTTTGGTGAAATTTTTTTTTTTTTTTTTAATTAAGCCTCTGATCCACTGAATGTTATAACGAAAAAACCTAATGTCTCTAGAGAGTGAATACAAAGGAGGACCAAAGCAGAAGCAGGTGCAAGAGTGTGAAAAGCGAGACATTGCAGTAACATTTTCCTAATGTAGTGGAAAACTGGACATTTGAAGCAGCTGAAGGGCAGGTATGCACTGAGATTGGGAAGATACTATTTGTGTTGCTTAGGGCTGAGTCCTACACATTTAACTCCCACTGATTTCTTAAGGGTTCCAATTCAAGTCAGTGTCAGCAGGAACGTGTAAGGGCTGCAGGCGCGGGCTCTTTATGCTGCTAGCAGTCACATTTTGGGACTTTATTAAGGCTAGGATTTGCTGAACAGACTGTACTGCAAAACCATGCTAATTAGCTCCTAAAATTCTTGGACAGCTGCCACAAATTCCTGGGAACTGTCTACACCAACCAGCAAAAACAGCTTTAAAGATGCTGATTGCCTGGAATAATTCTGGGCATTACTTGTCCTTTTGCAGTGGTTTTTATCGCATCCATGTAGTCATTCTGGCTTTTGACAAAACCCTTTTGGTGCACACCTGAGACAGCTGTTCTCAGGGATCTGGCAGGGAGTGTTTCTGGAAAGCTTGAACCAGTGGGTTCCAGGCTTGAACCAGGACTCTAACCTGAACTGCTTGGGATGGTGCTGGGTGGGAAGTGTTCTGGTGTGTCTTTTTCACAGGTTGTATTAGTTTTCTGACCATTAGTTCTCACCATCTTGTGGGTTGGTGAATGAGTTTTGGCAAGGTAGAGTTACAGTAATTCTTTCCTTATTTGTTTATCTCTACAGTAAGGTAGGAGCCCCTGGTGGTCTAGGGGTAAAGGCGCCGCGCTATCACCGCGGAGACCCGGGTTCGATTCCCGGTCAGGGCCACTCACGGGCAGGTGGGGCTCGTTAGCCCTTAAAGGCAACCCACCTACGTCCTAAGGACCTCACTGCCACCGTCCAAGCTCGCTTGGCCCCGGCAGATGAACCTTAGGATTAAAGGGTGGGCTCAGTTCCGCGCACACTGTGTCTCACCTAAAAAATCCAATGCGCAGGCTGGAAGGTGGAAAGACCTTCCCCGGATCTTCGCTCGCGAAGACTGGCCATTATTTATTATTATACAGTAAGGTTATCATTTCCAGCTGCTCCCAGATTTTACATCAAACTCCTCAAACGGTTTCAGCCATCAATATTTGTTGAGGTTTGTACCCTCACTTACTTTGGTCAAACACTGATTCAAGGATGATGCAGTTCAGTTAACTTGAGACTTTCACTTTTTTGATTCAATTCCACTACATGACATGCTCTTGTTTCTAGTTTTCTTCTGTAGCCTAGAAAACCACCTGGAGATTTTTGAGCCTCACATCCCTTCCCTGACTGATTCAGGGCGGACCAGAACACACCTTAAGAGATAAGCCTTAGTGTGAATAAAAAGGGCACTCTGATTTGGCATCTCATGTTTTCCCCTTGTTTGATGGGTCTCTCTAATGTGTCTGAAATCCTGAACTTTGCAGCAGAGATGGGAACCCAAGGTTCATGCTGGGATGCATGAAGCACCAAGATTAGATGGAGACTTTCCCTTCAATCTCCCTCAAACCCACTCAGATATCTTGGCTGTCTATGTGCAACTCTAAGTATCACACCTTGATTAAGCAAAAGCCTCTTGGCTCCCTGATGGGATTTCTCCACTGGATGTACTGCAGAAAGACTTATTTTGGGAAAGTCACAGTACCTAAACCGTAGTGTCTATAAATAAATAACCTAGGGTAGGGCTTTCCAGCTGTGGCATGTGTCCTGCCAATGGTTTACAGAGGACTTCAGGATGGGATGAAGGTATTTAATGAAGCTCTGAATGCCTCTTTACCCTAAGAAAAGTGGCCCAAGACAGAGACAGGAACTGCTGAACAGCTGTTGCTGCTATTTCTGCCTCCAGGTGAGACTTGAGCACGTTGGAGGGAAGCAGAGCTCCCTGTCCTCTGCCTTGCAACAAGGAATACATACCTTTGGCTTAGAAGTTCATGATTTTCCTTCAAGGCTAGCCCCCTGCATTTAGGCCTCAGTTGTAAATGTCAGGGGGCAAGCAGAGCTGCAGAGCACCTATGTGAAATCCTGATCAAGCAAAGAGGCTTTTAAAATTTTTCCTTTCTAACTGCATTTTCTTATATTTTAAATAAGCATATGTTAGCCTGGAGACTTCTGTCTTCTGTAGAAAGCTGTTACCAACACTGTATATCTCACTCATTCCAGCACATTTTACTTCCCGCAAATGTTGACAACCATGTGCGAAGCAACGAGGATCTGTGCTTCTGACCATCACCTGCCGAGGAGGAATTCAGAGAGGAAAGCCAAGAAATTGAGCACGAGGGATGGGTGGGAGACACTATTTTGGCTCATTTGTTTCATCTGCTGAAGACAAGGGCTGCAAAACTGGCAGCAGAAAGAGGGGGAGATGGCTCCCATCCCTCTCCAGTCGATCCAGTGAATAACTGGATTGCAGTTACTAATAATATAATATACAATAATATAATGAATGCACTTATTCAGTATATAACAGTACAATATATTAGTAGCAGCAATAGCGCAGCCACTGAAGCACCGGCACGTAATAAAAGACGCGCAACTCGACGAAAACCGCAGAAACACCGCTTTAAGAAAAAAAAAAAAAAAGAAAAAAAAAATCCACGGCATCGCCAGAAACAAGACGGGGATGCTCGCGTCCGTGAGCCGTGCGGGGAACACAGGGGGCGGTGCTCGGGGGGCGGTGCTCGGGGCGGTCCCACCGCGGCCGTTGCCGGGGGCGGGAGGTTTGAACGGCTGCTCGGAGGGGGAAGAGGTTGATGCTCGTGGATGAGGATGGAGAGACCGGGCGGGCCGGTGAGCGGAGGGACGGGGCGAGCAGGGCCGGGCAGCTTTCGTCCCCCGAGCACCGCCCGCCCCACCGACACCACCCCCGCGGGCACCGGAGGTGCCCGCGGGCGTGGTGTCGGTGGGACGGGCGGTGCTCGGGGGACCAAAGCTGCCCCCCGAGCTGGGCGGGTCCGTGGCGGCGAATCGGAATGAGATGAGATTTCCTCACTGTAGTTACGTACAGGTGACAGATGTGGAGAGGAGCTGGGGCAGTGCAGAGGCTTGTTTTCTGGAGTTGTTTTCTGGAGAGTTCTCTACACCTTATATAGTTTCCTCTGCCACGGTGGTGTCTACTCATCCTCTGCATTCTCACTGTCTGACTAAATTACCTTAAATGCTGTCAGATTCATAGAACATATATTTGTCCTGCTTAGCCTGGGGTCTTTATCATGCGTGGGAGAAACCCATCTCCTTTATTACCTGAAGAAAATGAGAAACCTTGCCACAGCTTTCAGACAACTGCTTAGAGATCCATGTGCTTGTTTTGGGTTCAGACTGTAAACCTGAAAACTGACATGATCTTGTCAATTCCAGGTGTAGTTGGGACATTCTTGCTCAGTGTTGACAGAGCTTCATTAGTCACTGACTTGCAGTTTATTTGCAATGCTACCCTGCAATACAGTGATAACACTGTTCTTCATGTGCTAGAAATCTTTGTTTTGGCCAGGAATGGCCACATAACAGGGAAATTTGTATCAGTTACCAGTGTCATCTAGCACACCTTGGGGAGACAGTAAACTATCTGTGACCCTTTACCTTAATCATCTTCTGGATCTGTGTGGATTGATCTCTTAGAAATGGCAAGTGAGGAATAATACACATTTCTAAATGTCTGTTTTCTCTGAAAGTAGGCAGGAAAAATGTAACTTTCCTGAAGTTTTTATAGTACCTTAAAAAAACCCTACTACTTCAAAAAACGGTGATGCAGAATTCTAATGACTTTCAGGCAGGTTTAGCTTATTTCATACTTTGAATGGAAACTGTGCATGGTATGATCCCTCTGTAGGGTTGAAGCTACCACAGTTGTCTGACTTTCAGTTCATGGCCTGAAACAGTCAAATATTGGGATAGTCTCCTTTATTTTTGCTTCTTCTCTTGCCTGAATTTTATATCAACCAGAAGTGAAAAACCCTCGTATTTTCTTCACTCTTTTTCAGATGGCCAAAGAGGGAAAGAGATTGGATTTCTGATTTAAAAGATTTCAGACATTTTTCTCAGTTTAAAGTTTATTTAATAGGGATCACTTTAAAAAATGGGGTGTAAATTTATAAGTTTGGTTCAGTTAGGCTTCTCAAAGACCATATGTGATTTTTCTGTGAATGATACGAGTAACTTTAAGATGGTGCAGTGAGTTTATCTGACTATCTGGTTTGGAATTTTCAAGTATAATGGATATAGTGACTCTGTTGCATCCCTTGTTTTACTGTTTTGTCCCTGAAGAGAGAACTATCGTTCTTACATTCACTAATCATTGCAATAGCTGCTCATAATTAAAACCTAGACTTTTCCATCCCAACTGTGAAATAAGAAGAGCCTGTTAAAAATTCAGGATATTGTCAGTTGTTGTTTTGTTTAAGTCTTTGTTATTTTTGCACCTCTAGGATCGTGACATCCAAGAGAAGATTGACTTTGAGATGCGGATGCGCGAGGGCATCTGTAAACTGCTGGCGGTGAGCACGCAGAAGGACCAGCTCCTGCGCGCCGTCAAAAGCCTGATGGTCTGCAATGCTCGGATACGGGCGTACAGGGCACAGCTACAGAGCCAGAAAGGAGAGCCAGACCCATGCAGGACTGCAGAGCAGTGAGTAACAGCTCAAATGTGAAGGCAGGCATTTATTTACTTGAGTTTTTAGCAGCCTGTTTGGAAAAGGGGATTTAAACCCTTCATTTAAACCTTTCCTTCTTTTTTCCCCCATATAAACATAAATTACAGCTCCCTTAAAACATTACTTTATAAGACCATTCCATTGTCTTCTTTTTAGTTTAGAAAATTAAATACAAGTAATATTTTTCTGAGTAGATTATTGACATTAAACTGCAATTCAGTATCAAGTAATACAATAGTCATATTTTCTTGATTACCTTTAGCATACAAAAAGGTACCTATCCAAGTCTGAAGGAACAAAACAAAGCTATCCAAATCAGAATAGACGTATTTCTACTTTTCCTTTTGTTGTTACTAAGGGCCCTTTAATGAGGGAACCATCGTGGTTAATTGGTACCCTCTGCTGGCCACTGGTGCTAACTACAGCGACGTGATAAAAACAACACTGACCAGGAAGAAAAATTACTTGAAAATATTCTCACATTATAACTCTTGAAGGAGCTAAAGTATGCGTGTTTTATTTGATTAATGTTATAATTCTTTTGCCCAGTGGAATATATTTTGGGTGCAGTGTTGAGAATCGTGGTGCAGAGACACTACTGCTCTCAGGTTATTAATTTAATTGCCTACCAAGACGAAGATCTTTATAGTGGTTCACTATTTAAGTTTTTAGTAATGGAATAATATCAAGTATGGATATATGCTCATTTACTCAACTCCTGGGGTTTGGTGCCAGTGACCACAGAGTGGTGATGGCACATATCTGGAAGAGGGCTGAGATATTTGGAGATATATGTGAACAGCTGCATTGTTTGCTTGATTTGTGACTGTCATGCGCTGCTTAGAGTTCTGTCTTCAGGAGTCCCTGGAATTTTCAGTGGAGGTCATTAGAAGAGGTGCATGCTATAGTGTAATTTCTCTATCATTTAAATGGTATCTTTGATAGTTGATGGTCCATCTGCAGTTCTTTCTTTGGGTATTTGCTCAAGACTGGAATTTGGTTAAAGCTTAATTGTGGCTGAGTTTTCTCACTCAAGGGTTTTCAAGTGGATGTTGCTCCTGGTTCTTGTTGTGTGGGTCTGTAATCTGTGAGTTGCAAAGATATTCTAACTGCCTCTGGAAGTCATGATACTGGTAGCAGCTAGAAATTTTCACCTCTTCTTATCTGATTAGGTGTCAGGAGCAGTGGCAGAGGTAAGGAGAGCACTCTTGTTAGTCGTTATCTACAGATTTTTTAAATTCAATTTAAGGTTGACTTTGAGGTCTCACTCTGTCTATTTAGCAAACTACCTGTGTGTGAAATTAAAATGCAACATTTTATAATTAGTCTCTATAAATAGAGGAGGAGGCAATTCTCTAAACAATAACAGAACTGATGAATTAAGTTGCATCTCCGCTGATGTGTACAGAAGGGAAAAACTGATAACATATTTGGTCCTGTTGGAGCTGGAAAAGACAAGGAAGATGAATCTACTTGTCTTTTAATACACAGGTTACATAAGCTTTGGAGTAAAATCTTCTAGGGAATTAAGAAAATTGATGGCATACCTTCATTCCAGATTATCCTTAAGAAACTAATGACTCATGTCTTAAACCAGAGATACCAAAATTAACTTTAAAAAAAAGCACTTGAAATGAGCTATGACACTTTTTAGTGTTTAAAGGGTTGAGTTTTAGATGTCTAAATGCACAGATCTCAAATCTTGTTTTTCTTTTCTTCTTTTCTGGCAGGTCTTCAGAAAATGGGACAAAAGACAGGGTGGCATGCAGAGCAAAGGTTGCCATATCAGGTAAGTGGCTGGGTAGTCACTTAATTACAGGAGCTAATTGGCTGGACAGTGGCTTGTAATACAAACAAGATGGGGTTTTTCAAGTGTGTATGTGCTTCAGAGGTATAAATCCCCTAGTGCTTCAAGAGGACTTGTGCCGAAGTCACACAGGCTTTTGAAGATCCTACCTTGTATTTCCACTTTACTTACGGGGCCTTCCACAGAGGGAAATACTTTTTTTTCTGTTTGCTACTAAACACTGAATGTATTTGAAAGCTAAATAAGTGTGAATGTGCTGAAGATTTCTTTCTCCCCACAACAACAGACTTTGAAGTGACAGTACAGGGTATGCCAACAAATTGAGGACAGAATTATAACTTGTATGCAAATGTTACTCAGCTAATGCAGGTTACATGACTACGGCAAAGGTATACTGGTATAACTTCAATTCAGGCTGGTGACAAGAATATTTATCAGCAATTTCTAGTGGGCTGGCACACTGTTTTCTTGCCTATTCTCAAACTTCATGCTGTGGATTCATTATTTTGTTTGCCTGTGCCAATAGTGGATGTTACCACGTTCAGCATTCCTGTGTCTGCGCTGCCAGCTTTGCTAACAGATCTGTTTGTGCTCCCTGACCTGCTTCATTAAGAATAAAATAGTGTAAAAGGGCTCATTACTGAAATTGTTTCAGTTAATTCTGAGTATTTTGACATATCTTTAAGCAAGGTAACTTCTAGTAGAAGAGTGATGAGCACATGGTTCAATAATGTTTTCTGCCAGCACAGCTGTTTGCAGAATGTGTATCTGTCTTTCCTCCTTATGGTAGTTGGGTGAAAGCATCTGTTTGACTGTCTGTGCTGTGGTTGCACCTTCCTTTGGATCTGGAGAGTTATCTGCAGTGAAGACTTTAGGGTCATATAATATGCTTCTGCTATCTTTAGAAAATCAGATTTTTTTGTAAGGACTCTATTTTTAGTATGAGAAATTAGTTTTTTGTATAAATCACCTGTTATTAAACCCTTAATTTCCACCATCAAGTAATCAACCCACTTATAAATCCAGTAGCATCTCATATGGTTAGTACATGCCTGAAGCTTAGACTATTACCAAAAAAGGGAGGTCATGTGACCAAAAAATTCCAGAAGAGCTATGCAGGACTACTGAAGAAAGTGCTCCTACAGAAAGTATGTTGGCTACTGTGTGGGGAGTGTATTCTTTAACCCAGATTTTCACACTTCTATCATTTTTACTTATCCCCCACACGTGTGAACAAATGACGTAATTTATGTTACCGTATCAATCGTTTTTGTTTTTTTTTGTCAGAAGACAATATATTAAATGTTGATCAAAAAGCATGATCGTAATTTACAGCAATTTCATAAAGGAATCATTGGCTTTAAATTTGATTAAATGTGGTACTTGAATGTATCCAATTTGCATCCGCATGGATTTACAGCTAATGGTAACTGAAATTAAGGTGTGTGAAAATTGATCTCTGTTTTTAATAAATGACAGTTCTTTCAATCCAGGAATGAATTGAAGGCTGATTTACAAGTATTGTGTTAAACTTGTCCAAGCAATTGACTATCTGTGTCCTGATGATTTTCTGACTAAGGTGTAAATTTTTCAGCTAGCAAGATATTGAAAGTGGCATACAGAAGTAATCTTTAATCTAGTACTCTAATTGCTAACAAGGCCTATTGAGTGCATTGAAATTGTTATTCAGAGTTTGCTGTGATTAAAGAGGAAAAAAAGCTTTTATTTGTAACTGTTTTCATGTGTTTATGTAAATTTAAGACCTTAGTCTTTTAGGAATGCAACATTCTCTGCTTTGTCAACACAGACATAAATATATGTATTTTAAAAGTTTGAGAGGGGCTTCTGTAATGGTTTTAGTGAAACTAATTCTCTTCATAAAAAAAAATAATTAGAAATGCTTACTATGCAAATGCGTCTTCAGAAGTGAAAGGCAGTTTCAGAACATGGTGACGTACTGATTTTTAGGAAGTTGGCAGTCTAAAGCTGCCTGCTGGCAGGTCACTGGAAAATTCATTAGTTTTCAGGAACGCTTAGAAACAGCTGAATGTCAGAGTTTCAGAATTGAAATAGCACTTATAATAAGATGTCTCATAATATAATCAAAAATAACTTAAATTTGAATCTTTCATTTAACTTGTGGGACAGAGTGACTCTCTGCGGTTTCACTTAAATCAACAGGAAGTTCTGTGGGTAATCCCCTGTAGGAATACACGACAATGTGTTGCCAAAATGCCACCACAGTTTTGCATCTTAGCATACTGCATGTGGATTTTTCCATCAGCCTCATATGAAGGTCAGCACTGGAGTCAGCAATGCTCCTTTATTTTTTCCTATAAATTTAAGGGTTTTATCAAAGGACGGTTGAGCTTGTGCTGTTCACTGCTGCCATCATGTGTCACTTAATATATTGCATATACTTCTAAACAGCACCGTTGTACTTCAGAAACCAACTTTGGATTTATGAAGCCCCCACATTTGTGTTTTAACAGGGGACTAATAAGGGATGTTGTCTAAACCTGAGTCCTCAGAACTGGAGGGAAATGTCACTCAGTGCTGTGCTGGATTGAGTAGATAAATTGGGAAATTTACTGAAGAAAATACTTTCCTAATATTAAAATGACAGGCATGATTTAAAATAATGGTTCTGAAGTAGAAGGATATTTTTGAGTTTAAAAAAAAAAAAAGAGGTTTCTAAACTCTTTTTATGCCAACTAAGACAATTCTAACTGAGAATGTGATTACAAGTGGCATTTTCTCTGTGGTTAGCAAAACAAGACTTAAGTGTTTACAGGATAAATATCCCAGTCTTTTCATTAAAACGGGAAGGTTTTCCTCTTGCAGTGGGATGAGTGGTTTCCAGCACAAGGCAAGCAGAGTTTCGGTTTGCATGTATGCATAATAATGGCCTCAGAGAATACCTCTCAGAACTATGTTACACAGCCACTCTGAAATGTTATTTCAGGTACTTTCAAATGAGATTTAAAATAGTCTTTATTCTAGCATAATTTCTAAACAAAAATGACACTTCAAATTGATGAATTTTCTTTTGAAATTAATAATAAACTTAGAATACTTATGCTGTTCTTTGGTGGAAGGTCCTGTTACCACCAGAATATCAGAAGAAAAAAACTAGAAACTTTTTGTAACTTGTTTTGATCACAGATCTATGGTATTGACTATAACTTAATTTCCCCACCTCTTTTTTTTTTCCCCTTTAGATATTCGGATACCATTAATGTGGAAAGGCTCTGATCACTTCAGCAATAAAGAAAGTATGTAAGATCATTATTAATTACTCTGACAAGCAATTGCTTATGCCTGTAAATTTAAACTGGATAGGGAAGTCCATGCTCATATCAACCCCTTCTCTGACCTTTCATTAGGTCCATATTTTGCTCTTTGTTGTGTAAATGCTCATAACTTGTTGGTTGTAGCAAGCTGAGTTAGTTCAAAGTCCTGTGCTTCTTTGTGTTTAAACCTGAGTCTCTTCAGAGTCGAACTGAGGAAAAATTCCAGAGGAAGCAACAGAAAAAATGTTATTAAATGGTTAACTGAGAAATTTCTGATTAAACACATTATTCTATGTTCTGTCTACACTTGAGAGAGTATATTGCAGCCTGTTTCCAGTGAGAAATTTAAATGAAAGTTGTCTGTTGGTGTTGAGTGTATTATTGGGTAGTCTTCAAGTACATGCATTTTGCTGTGTCATGGAGATTAACACTAAATCTGTTCCAGCTGTCACCTGGCATTGATTTCACTTTGATTTTCAATAGGGTCAGAGGGGCAAAGCATGGCAAAATAGTCTAATCCTATATAGTACATTCAGAAAATGATACAGACTTTGGATCAAATGTTAGGTTATTTTTATTTTTTTCCATACAATCAGTTTAATTAAACAAAATTGCATTTTTACTAATGTTTTTGAAGTAGCTAGCAAAAACTACACCTGATTACTCAACCATTTTTTTCTTTACTCATAGAAGCAGCCATTTTTTCCCCTCTGTGAATGTTGTTGTACCTATACAGCAGCACTGATAGGTCAATTATCATAAAATCCTAAGATGAAAATTTAATTTATGGTGAGAAAAATTTGAGGGCAATTCCTTAGAGGTGTGGATTACCATTTAGTATACTTTTGTTTACAGGAAGTGTTCAGCATTGGGATGTGCAATATGGCTAATAAAACCTTTCCTTGGCTCTCTCCAGAATCGCAGCGCTATGCAGTTTTTTGTTTGTTCAGAATGGGAGCTGAGGTTTTTGATACCGAGGTGACTATTGTGGATAAAGCAATAACAGATATCTGTTTTGAAAATGTGACCATATTGTGAGTATAATTTACTTCTTTTGAATGAAGTACAAATATTGCAGTTTTCTTTAGAAAGTGTGTGTGCCTGTGAATAAGATTGGCTGAGGCCCACGTGGATTTGCTGTGGGCCAAGGAATCAGTAGAGGTTCTGTTTGTTTTAGTGGGTGGTGGATCCCCACCTCTGGAAGGCTGGGTTTTGTGTACAAGATGATGCTTGTTCTAGATGTGCCACTTGATCTTTTCGTTTCTTCTGCTTATTTTCATTTTTGCCATGCTGAAGCCTTTTTCTTCATATAAAGAGATAAACTGATATCTCAAGGGACGAGTTAAATTAATTCTAAAACCTGAAAGCGTTATGAAAGTATAGGCATCAACATTGCACCCAGTGTTTTAAGTGTCATTCTGTACAGCAGGCTACAATCTCATTCCTCATGTAACACCTCATGTTCTGTGACACCTATCTGAGCATGTGCTTAACTCCCCTCCCCCCCCTTGATTTTTTTTATATCAACAATTTAGATTCAATCTCCTGAGGAAGACTGACTGGAAAGCCAGAACTACCTCAAACTTTCAATCAAGATTCTGAGTTTAAATCAGATTTTAAACTCTCTTAAACATCTGTTCCAGTTAAGAGTGGGGACAAAGATTTAAATCTGCTTCTTCAAAGATATGAGACTTGATCATTATAAGTTTCTGTGAAACACTGCCACAAAAGCAGAAAAGGCACTCTGACTTGCCTTGTATCCCCCAGGATAAAGAAAGACTTGTTATAAAAGCTTTTGGGATGATTTTGTTATGGGCATCTGTGTAATGACATGATTTGTACCTGAAAGATGAGCCTGGCCTTCTGGTTTGATGACTAAGCTTGAGAACAAGAGAATCAGTAGAACTGAAAACAGAGAAAGGCTGTGGACAGGAGGATGCAGCAGTGTGTAGTTGAGTTATGAACAACAGATTTTATTACATCTAAGTGAGATAGGATTTTTTTTCAGTAATGTGAAGGGCGTGGGGTGCAACTAAGATATCTTTAAAACAGTTCAGTATGATTTAGGACCATAGATATGGATAGGTTTTCAATCATGTGATTTTTGTGTAACAGTAGAGGGCAGATTTAAGTGTGTTTGAATGTCTTGCCTGTGTATTTCCATAACATGGGCGATTTTTTTCAGTTTTTAACCTAAACGTTGAATTTCCTGTTTGTAATTGTTTATGGTTCAATTATAACATTCATCTCATGACTTCAGCACTAAGTTACTGCTGTGTACTCTAGTCCTTAATTCCATATTAATGTATGTCTGTGCCTGAATCTCATGGCATTCCTGCCCTTGATTGGAAATACGTTATTTAATACATGAAGTTGCAGCAGCATTCCTTGGCTGCATGCACAGTTTATTAACAAACGTTCTGAAATTTTCTCCTCCCCCCCTTCAGCGATGAAGCAAGACCAGATTTCCAGGTGAAGGTTGAAGTGTATAGTTGCTGTACAGAGGAGTCTTTATATATAACAAACACTCCTAAGAAACTAGCAAAGAAGCTTAAAACGTCCCTCAGCAAAGCTACGGGGAGGAAACTCAAAGCTACTCTGGAAGAAGACAGCACTGAATCCCTTTTGCCCGCTGACCCAGTCATCCAGTAAGCCATATATATATATATATTGATATTCTGGTTTTATACCTTTTAAAATAGAAATAAGCTGAATATATTGTAAATTTTTGGAAAAGTGCCAAGAAACTGATTCTTTGTGTACTTGCCGGAGTGAAAAAAAATTTACATCTTAAATAGGAAATGAGAAAGTAGGTGTGAATTCCAACCATGTCGCTGAGCCTTGGGGCCTGGTTCTGATCTTGAAACACACGAGTAGGCTTTATCTTTCTGCTCTGCAGCTGGGAAATCCACTGTTCTTTGCAAACTCTATAATATTTTCGGTTTGATCTCTAAAAGAAGTCAAGCTTGTACAGTCAGTCTGTCTGTGTGCCTCTGTCCATCTATCTTTCCCATTTACTCCCTCCCCCATACTATTTTTGCACCTGGCCAGTTTTGCTCATAGTTGACAGGTAGACATGTCTAAAAGTTACAAGCTGTGTGAGATAAAAGGTGTGTATGTAGGAAGGAGAAACCACTCTTGTACCCTCTCCGCTAACTCCCCTTCCGGCTTGTCAGTAAAACTCTGGACTGCCGAAGGCACTGTACAGTTACAAACTGCTTAACAGGAGATTTCTTAATTGCCTTTTGCACAGAAAGTTTTAGAATGACTTACTCGTTTTCAGTGTTCATAGATATAAATGCTGTTCTCAATAATTTACCTGTTTCCTTTTAAGAATGATCTTTAGTCTTGCTCACATTTTCTAATGAAATTAACTGCCTTTTAATATTTTCCAGCTACTTTAATTTCACTGAGATTTAAGAAGGCCAAATACCTAATTTGCAAATGCTAATAATACTGGTGGTTCTTTGGTTCTTTTTTTTTGTGTGTTTTCTTTTTTTTTTAGAAAGCAATTTTTTCAAGGAATTACTTTTTTGGCAGCTGAGCAGTAAAGAATCAATGCTTAATACTTGCCAGGTGTTGAGTGTAGCCTTAGTCTAGCTTTATACATCTATTTCCTGTGATTTTTAAAAGGAAACATTCAAGCATATTCTGTCTTTGTCAAACTGATACTACTGTATACTGATATTACTGTTTGACTCAAAAATAGACATCCAAGAGATCTTATCCACCAGAGCAAAGGGAATTTTATCACTAACTTTCCAGTGGGTTCCACCTAATGACAAGGTATTTTTCAATCTGCATCATGTCAGGTGGCTGTTCTTTCCACCAGCTTCAGCTGGGCCATGACACGCTATCATTAGACACAGTTTGAATCAGATATAACCACTGGTTTATTTGCTTGAATATAGATTGCCTGTCTTCTAAGGAAGAGGCACCAGCAGACAATTTAAACAGCTGCCTCCTCCCTTGGGTTTTGCTTTTGGTTTCTCAATTGAATTTTCCTTTCCTCCATCTTGGAAGTTTGTTGTTTCTGCTGTAGATAATCGTGTCACAGTGACTATTACTTTCTTAACAGAGTTAAATGAACAATGAAGTGTTTAATGATGGCTTTGCTGGGTGATTAAAAAAGTTTCTTGGAAAGAAATGGGTTATTATAGGCAGAAAATAAGCTGTCAGTTTTTTTATAGGCTCCCCTTAGGATTTATATTAGTAAGACCTTGGTATGTAGCCCTTATAAAGGGGAAGAGATTGCAAGATTACAAGAGATCTTTCAAGTATTCCCAGAGAGTTTTACCAGTCCAGCAGGGGAAATTAAACTGCAACAAAAAGGTGAACTTTCCATATTATGTGAACACCTTTTCTCTGTAGATTTCATTTGTACAAACCTTTTTCGTTTCAGAGCACACATGAGTGAAATTCTCCATTTTCCAAAAACTCTGTGATCCCTCTTTGTCAAACTCCTTGGCTTAGAAATCTCTCTGGTTAGTGAGGAAAGAGTCCAACTTGTAACTTCTTGCAAAAGCTTAGTGACAAATGCTTTGAATCGTTGCTTAGGTTGGTTAACTTGAGTTATATTATCTCTTAATTATCTCTCTTTTAATTTCTAGACAGTCTTTTGCTTACTTAATTTTTCTGTTGCATTTTAAATATTGTTTTTTTCTTTTTACATTTGTCATCAAAGAAAAATCTTCAGTGCAGTTATACTATTGTATTCCAGAGTAACCATGTCGCTCTTTGGACAAATTATTGGAGAGTCCCCCTGAAGTGCATGTTTATTCACTTGCAGAACTGGCATCACAGGCCCTTGTTGTTGGGTTTGATGAATTGTGCTATGTTTGAATTGGCAAATCCCTGGTGATATTTTGCAGGAAGTACATAGTCCAATCTAGTGGCCTCACTTTTATGGCTGAGTTCTCATTAATACCCGAAGGTTATATTTGATTTCACTTTCTGTTATTCAAGATCTGATTGAAAAGTGAGCATACTTGATTTCCTTTTTAATTTGACTCCCAAGCCTTCCACTTGACCTATGTGAGTGAACTAAGACTGGGATTTCTAACATTGGGTTTAATATTCAGGAACAGATTCTGGAATTGGAAATACATTATTAGCATGCATTTATAGAAAGGGTGATATAGTTACACCTTCCCACACCAGTGTCTCTGTGGCAAATTCAGTGCCTAGGCATGTTGTGGAGATGAGCTGACTTTTTTTTTTTCAAATGAAGTTATTACATGGAAAAATACTATAGATATGCAAAGTACTGAATGAGATGCAGCAGGCAGATTACTTTTTCTTACACAAAGAAACTGCCATTTAAGGCAGTTAGCTAATTCTGTGAAACGCAGAGGAAAAACGTGGTCAACAATCCTGATTAGCCAGTTAAATCTGAAAAATACTTGTAGATAAAACTTTTCTAAATTATATTGCAGCTGCCTGAAAGGAATGACTTGTATTTTAGAATGAAACTGTTACTGTGAAGCATATTTTAAAAGTGAAGTAGCTATTTATTTTGGCAAGGTTGTTGTTGTAATTAGTCATGCTTTAGAAAAAAAGAACAACTTTAAAATCAGCATAGCAGTTTTATCTGTGAGAAGAAACTGAACTTTTTGGTACAGTTGAGACAGAATGGTAATGCATTGCTCAACTGCACGGCCAAACATAATCAGTGGAGAATCTTTTGTTAGGGAACAGTCAAGCAGGGAACATATACAAATGCTGATGAGTTTTTGTTCAGATTGCCCTCTTGAAATGCTTCAAAGCAGTGGTTTTTCACCCAGAATGTTATAATGCATTTAATTTTCTCTTCATTCCCTTGAGACAGATGTGTATCAGACCTCCCTGCTAACAAACTTGCTCCTTTTCCTCCTCCTCTTTCATTAGGTTTAGGGGTAGGCAGACATCTGCCTTCTTCATCAACAGAGGCAAAGATTTTAAAACTGTATGTTCCCACTGTGCTATTAGGAAAAACAAGATTTGAAAAATATTATGATAGAATATTATGATAGAAAACTATTTTTCAGTGATTTGGTTCAGTAGTGACTTCTCACCTTGTACACCACTAGCCTTCCTTATGCTCTACTGAAGATATTTTAAGTATCTTGTGCTAGATCCTGTTAGGGAGAGTAGTTAGTGATTTTTTGAGGGGTTTGTTTTCCTGTGAACTTTGTTCAAACTGTCATTAGCCAGGTGAAATTCATACTGCATTGCTGGACTGTAAATCTGTTACTTGGTCTGATGAGTATTTTAGGGAAAAGGTTAAACGTACCAGATTTATGCCAGTTTATTCCAAGAATTCTGTTCCACATGCACTGTGCTGAATTGTAAGAGTGATTTTTTTTTATTTCTTTCCCTCCCCGCCAGGCAAAACACAAAACAAAGATAAAACATTCTGAAACCTGTAAGCACAATAAGGGAAAAAAAACCTTTATGCTACAAAACTGACTGTAGGATTTTTGCACAGATTTCTGCCTGGGAAGAATCCATCTATTAGATGCTATTAAAAATACACTTATCGACAGCTCTTTTATAAAAAGTGTAGTCTTCACAAGCAAAGTAAAGGAGCAGAGCAACACAGAGAAGCAGTGTAATGCCTTTTAATTTTTAACCTGTATTTTCAGATAAAGTTTATGTCATCAGTTGTTCTATTAACTGTAAGATTTTTTGAACCTATTACCTAATCTAATTGCTTTAGGCCTAGCAATAAGAGCTGAAAAACTATTAAAAGTTACTTGATGTCTGGCTAGAGGAGGGGAGGTGCTTTGAGCATCCTCAGAGTGCAGAGGGCTTGGATAGCACAGCCTTTATGCCTGGGTTTGGCAGCTGCTGGCTCCCCAGGAAGCACAAGCCCAGCTCAGAGGCACTGGCCACACGGGAATTCTGCTGGCCAGCAAGTTCCAGAGAGGAGACAATGGAAGGAGCCACCTGATGGGGCCTCTTGGCACTGGCCTGGAAGTTGCAGGGTGGGAGGGAACTGGAGGTACACACAGCACAGAGGCAGAAGATAAGGATATATCAAGGAGATAAACAGATTGTGGGGCAATGTTTATTTACAAATAAAACCAGAGACACAAGAGTTGGGTGGAAAAAGGTTGGGGGGTGGCAATCTGTGGTCACTGAGAGGTGCTGCCTTGCACCTCGGAGTTCCCTTGTACCCAAATATGATATCGCAGGCCTGTCTAGACTCTCATTAATTACTGCCTGAGCAACATGAAGCAGAAATGTCTTAAACGTGCCTTTTCTTTCACATTTAGTGGAGCAAAGTACAGTTTGCTGGCATATACCACTTTGGGGCTGGAGAGTACCGAGGACAATTTCAGGACTCACAACCTTACCATTACAGGAAATGGTAAGTACATATGGTACCAATTTAAGGAAATAAAAAACCAGTAACATTTTGCATTAAGCTCTTGTAAACTAAAGAGCATAAAGAGATTATTTTTCTTGATACTTAATATAGAACAACTTTAATAAAATATTTAACGGCTCTAAAACAGGCATCTGTACACAGCTGAATAAACTACAAGTTGAGTAAAATTTCAAGTCCAGATGAAAATTTAGTTCTTTTGGGAGTTTCTTCTGTCACTTGCATCTCAGTCTTATGTGAGTTGTAGCTATATACAAATTATTTCATCTTCCTCACAACCAAGGAAGGGTATCAGAATGAAGAACAGCTTTTTTCCTCTGTAGTCAGAGAGAGAAGAAAAATAGCTTCAGTTCAGCAACACTGGTTGAGGCCCAGATTTAACACAGGATTTAGGCTATACTTGAGCTCTGGGGCAGCACAAGTTGGGAGATGCTGACACTACAGGGGCTATGATTATGGTGCAACTGATGGTGTTGTTTTAAGTTACAGTTTTTGGTACTTTCTCCGTTGTTTTCTGCAAGGATAGACTCTGCCGTAATCCACCCTCTAACTGTTAGCTTAAGGCATGGGACTTTCACTGTTACTTCGGGGAACTTTCTTTTACTTGGGTAAACTTGACCTCAGAGGGAATTTCCCACTTTACATTTCAGTAATTCTGAATATGTGCAGATTTAAAGATTTATGGGGCATTTGTTTCTTGAAAGGTTGGATGAATAATTCTGCGTATCTTTGATATTTGTAAGCATTTCTTTATTGGTACTTTGTACTCTCTCTTATTCAAGTTCCTTTTTCTGTCATTAGTTTATGTAATTCAGTCTGGTGAGAAAGGACATACCTGGATATTTTGGTTCATTACAAGCATTTCTAAACCATGACCAGAGACAGAGTCACATTAATGGAACATTGCATTACCTACTTCTAATTACAGAGAGAGAGCCTATGACATAGTGGAGAGGAGCAGAGCAAGGAGGGATATTCCAATTCACTAGAAACTCCTTGGAATCCTAAATGCTCTTCTAGTGCTAAAGACAGAACTAGATACAAATTCTAAGCCGTAACAATCTGAAGCAAAGTGCTCAAGTGTAAATGTAGCTGTGGGCCACAATGGGACACGCTCTGGGATCCTACCGGATGAGAGGGCCAGGGTACTTATCTTTCAAAATGTTTCTAGCTGTGAAATGAGATTTAGAGCTATATTTTATGTAACAACAACTTGTTCTTGAAGAACAATATTCCCATTTTTGCTTGAAGTTTGTTTGGAATTTATTTTTTTTAAATTAAAAAATCTTACTGAGGAAGTAAACATCAGTTTTAGTCGAATACTACAGGATGAAATCTCTTCTTAAAATATGAGAAAATGCTTATTTAGATTAATAATCTTAATGTAAAAGTGGATGTAGTAAACGAAACTATATATTTAGGGACAGTATTCAGAACTCAGTGTTTGCCTATCTTTTTCCTGTGTTTTTTTCCCCCAGAGGAATCCTCTTTTTGGCTCCCCCTGTATGGAAACATGTGTTGCCGTTTAGTTGCTCAGCCCTCCTGCATGACTAGGGATATGATGGCAGGATTTCTAAATCAGCAGGTAAGATGACCTTGCTTGTGTTTACATCCTCTTCTGTTAATAGCTGTCACTGAGAGTCGATTGTTAAAACATTTGCTTTTACCTGGAGTGGTTTATTGAGAACTGTTGTTTTCCACCCATTCTACCTAGAGCAAGAAAACTCTCACAGCTGCTTTCACAAACAGTGCCTTCAGTGGGTAAGCATGGAGAAGTAAATGTTTCTTCGGTGTGCTTATCAATAAAATGATTTAGGCTGTTAGGCAAAGATCAAGTATAATTGTTGTTTCAGGATTGGTTTAGGCTGGTACTTGATGGCAGCAGTTCTAATAATCCTGCAGCTCTCATCCTTGTGCACACCTCTCTGCTGGCACAAGAGTTCATATCACAGCATGGTGAGTCGGGCTGGGGAACTGAGCCGTATTTAAACTCGTCCCTTCAGAAATGATTCATGTGAACTCACTTCACGTCTCTCTTCTGGTTCGTTGCACAAGGCATTCGAGAAGGTGATAGCGGAGGGCCAGAGGGTCTGGGTCATTATCAGGAGTGCTGAGTTACAGGCTTTAAACTGGTTGTGAAACTGTAATGCATTTGTGAAAACCATTCAGAAAATTCATTTGAAAAAGTGGAAATTCTAGACAAATGTCTTTGCTTAACGTTTGTTGAATGTACTGTGTATTTCCAAAGTGAAATACTCTTTTTATTTGTCTTATTAAAGGTGGTTTCTTTCTTACAATGGACACCAGATCTAGATTTCATTCTGAGTGAACCAGCAGACTCTGTAATGTTAGTGTCACATGGCAGTAAATCTCCAAAAACTGTAAAACACCAGAAGACATTTAAAGTACTGCTAACGTTTCACAAATCAGTGACTGAAGTGTTCTGCAACAGAGAGTCTTTGTTTCAGGAACTAATTTGGTCTGGCTAAATCCTGATCATCAGGTCTGATATGTGTATACCTTGTAATATGGTCTTCTTTGGTGTTTGTTTGGCAATTTCTGATGACTTCTTCCCTTCAGCAAACAGTAGGAGATCTAACAAGCTGGCGGAGGCTGTATTGCGTACTAAGAGGTGGCAAACTCTTTTGTTATTACTCACCAGAAGAAATTGAGGCCAAGCTGGAGCCAGCATTGACAGTTTCCATCAACAAGGTAATATTGGTTGTATGGAATTTTTCTTTTTTTTTTTTTTTCCTCATTTTGGTGGAGGTTCTTTTTGGTTTAAGATGTATATACAGTCATTTGGGCTCTAAACTGCTTGTATGCAGAATGCTTTATAGGTAGCACGTGGGTGGGATGTGCTTCAGTGAAATTTGCAGTCACTGAATTTTTTATCAGGGACGATACATTTCTTAGCTGTGGATGTAAGTTCATTCAGTTGCATTAGACTGGTTAGCATAGAGGCAAAAAGGAGGATGTTTTTCTTTAGGAAAAGTAATAACTTCTTATATGACAGTTCTGTAAGACAACCCTGCTTGCAGTCCCCTAGCAATGCTCTGGTAGACTTTTGTCCTCAGCAAGCTGGAATTTTAACAAAAGCTTTTCTGTTGTGGTGTGTTATTTGGCCACAGGCTTAATTAGAAGGAGAGCTGGAAAATTGTTCAAAATATTTTAGTGCCTTAAAATAAGCTGCTTTTCTTAATACTGGTTTTGTTCAGGGCGCAATAACTTTGGAAGTTCTGTTCTTCAGGATGACATTATTGCTGTTTTTATAAACCCTGATTGGAAAGGCTGAGTTTAAAACTTAACTTCACATTTTAACACTTTAACTTTTAAGTGTTACTTAGTACTTGGCTAAAGAAGCAGAAAGTATTTAATTTGAAGTAATATTTAAATGTTCAATTTAGGAATGTTATTGGAAGGACCTTCTAGAATGGTGAGCATTAGAGGGAACAGATGCTCTCAAAGACTGGTTCTGGTGCAGTCATCAAGGGTTAATTTCCCATAAGGATGGGCAGAGGAATTTAATGTTGTTTGCAATCGACATGGCTGGGTTCACCTTACATAACTAAGCAGACATGTTTGGAAACCGTGTTAAGCACAGGTCGATCTGGATTCCGCTGCCGTGCTGCTGCGAGCGCTGGTGCCAGCACTAATTCCGAGGGAAGCATTCCTGCCGTCCAGCCGCTTGTTCAGCTGCTGTGCTGCTCTGTGCCAGGGCAGGCACTGGGGCAGCTGACTGATGAATTGGACAAGGGAACTGATGTGGTTTAAAGTTAGTTCATTTAGGGGGCACAGGGAACCTTGGCTTTGGCTGTGGTTCCCTTTAATAAGTTCTCTTACCCAGTTCACTACATGGCTTCCCAAATGCTGGTGTGGTACAAGGAAGGGGCTCAGCTGTGATTGGGAACACGTAGGGACATGGAGTAACAAAGGGCTGCTTCTTACAACAGCAATATCAGCTTTTGGTGGCTTTAATGTGTCTGGAAAGGCTGGCTACATTCTCACCCAGAGTGAGACTGGTATATAACCCAAATGTTTAAATGGGGTATAACAAGGTGACCTGTTTGTGTTAGGACTTATTTTTTAACAAGCTGAGATTTAAATTGATTCCTTAAATGAAAATACCTTTTTCATAGTGCTGTATCTTATAACAGAACCATATTTTCTTCCAACTGTTCATACATTTAGGTAAAATAAATATTTAGATTGTGATATCTATTTAAGCAGGTTTACTTGCTTACCTCTTCAGTCACTTCTAATAGCATTAGTCAGCCTCTGCCAAAATTCTGTTTTCCAGCTGTTCACAATATCAGTTAAGAAATGGCAAACTTGAGAAAATTATAGAATGACTAAATCCATGTTCCAAATTGTGACAGGAATATTTTTTAAAATTATCTATCAGACTGTCTCATATTTTTCCTTGGAGGTCTCTTTTTGAGTCTATATCCTAGTTTTGCTATTCCTTTTAAAATAACCATATGTGCTAAGATATTTTGCTCCTCTAAGCTACCAATACACTTAGAACCTAAAATCCAGCTTAATAAGCCTTTTCTGAGATACTATAGTTTGCAGAGTATCCTTAAAGCTAACATGTAGAAGGTACATAAATCATGTATCTTATACCATTTTACAAGTGTCAGGCTGCTATTCACTGTCTGTGAATCTTTCTTCAATTTAAAATAAAACTAGAAAAAAAGACATCGCAATTGAACACATATTTGGATACTTTACTACTTAAACAGTTTCTCTTGAAAATAACTTAATGCCTGCAGATATTTTTTGATTCCTTTGTTATGAAATTTCTCTTATGGATTAAATGAAAGCAGACTAATCATAAGGGCTTGTCTGCTTCATGTTGTTATAGAAACAGCAATTTCAAAATGAGAGTTGAGATTGAACACCAACTGTAGATGTTCTAACTAAAATCTCTTCTGGTTGCATATGTGGCATTTTCATTTGTAATGTGAAGCTGATCCTTTACATGTAATTGAAAGATACTTTCTGAAAAGTAATGAAATCATCTGGATTTATGAGAAACTCTCTGGAAAATATTCACACTGATAGCCTTATTTCACATTCCCTTTGAATGGAGACTTGAAGAAGCCATTAAGACCAGCAAAGTCATTACTTCAACTTCAGATGACTTCACTGCTACTGCTGTTGAGCAAGAATGCTTCTGCAGTTCCTATTATGCAAGTGCTACTGTTATTGTTCCAGCTAAATGTGATTATAACATATTATATTGCACAACTAAGTAGGAAAAGAAAAATTATATTTTCTGTAGCAAAGAAAATTTACTGGAATCCAATTTGAAGAAATATTCCTTTTGGGCCAGTTCCTGATTTTTTTCTAATTTTCTTTAGTTTGAAATGAAAAATATAAGGGGCTTTGCCTACACCTGATAGCTTAGCAAACTGGTACATGTGCCAGCAGTTCACATAGTTGCTCAGTGTTTGAAATACATAATATATTGTGTTCTGTTCATAAATTTAATAAATTTGGTCTTGTGCATAAATGTGTTTGAAAGACATAATTTTAAATTTAACAATAGTTCCCCACTTACCCCAAACAAATAGAAATTATTAACATTACAGCAGGAACCAATGCATGCATAGGTTATATTGGGTTTCCATTGTTGTACTTTATTTCTTGGCTGGTTTTGTTTGTTGTTGTTGTTTTTTTTTTTTTTGGTACTAAAAACGTGAAGAAATTTTGTTAGATGTGATTTGATTTGTTTAATCTTAAAATAGACACACAGAACTGGGTCTTAGGTTATTCAGTATTTTTCTCAAGAACTGTAATTTGTTTTGATGTCCTCAAATGGTCTTTATAATCAGTGCTTCTTACTGTGTCAGGACTGGCTTAGCAGGAAAGTGTTGCACCTCAGCAATAAAAAAGTTTTCTCTCTCTCTCTCTCTCTGCTTGTTTTTGTTTTCTTTGTAGCTTAAAACATGAGTTTTGTAGAGAGATATTATCAGGTAAAGAGATTTTTTTTTTATTTGGGGGGAAAAGTATGAAGGAAAGTTCTTATTTACAAAAATCATATTTCCCCTTTAAGTCTTTCCTCATCTTCACAGGAATAATCTTTTGCATATAGAACATAAAACTGTCTTCAGCTTTCCCAGAAGAGTCACTTGAGTTCAAGATTCAGCTGTTTTTCCTGTTCTGAACCACTGATTCTTCTGGTCTTTACAATTGCTATAGCAGAGTTGGTTCAATTGTCTTATAAGACTGGGAGAGATTGATCATTATTAGAACATAGTAACTTAAAACACTTTTTGTTGTTGTTTAGGGGTAGGGTGGGTGTGTTTGTTTGTTTAATAGCTTGTGGTTGTTTTTTGCGGTGGGGTTGTTATTAAGTGGAACTGGGTATGTAGTGTAATTCACCCAAGCTTGGTAAATTCATCAGCCCATTACTGTAATGGCATCTTGTATCACTCCTGAAATATTCAAGCATCAGATATAGATTGTTGCTTGAGGATTTATCTCCTTTGAATAATACCACAGTTGAAGGATAAAACCTGCAGCAAACATCATTAAATAAACTTGTGTGTGTGGTATGCTTGAAGTTCTTACCTGTCAAATGTTAATCTATTTGATTTCATTTTTTTGCTGGTATCTATGGTTACCTGAGTTAATGGGATATAGAGCACTTATGGATGAATTACTTCATCTCCTATTTTTAGACAGAAGAATTTAAATGAGCATATCCATCAGATACGCTACAAGCAGCTGTTGGTATTTCAAATGGTTACTTCAGTAATGCATTTAAAATCTGGGGAATGTTCTGTAGAATAATTTTTGTTTTTCTGAGTATCGGAACTAGGCTTATCCCCATGGGATCCCATGCGTAAACTTAATTTCTGTAGGTATATGTTTAACATCTTTAGCAGATGTTTGACATCTGGTTGAGTTGTGTAAAAGGGAACTGGCTGTTCTGCCCCCACTGTATTTTGAGGAATGCCCCGAAGCCACCTTTTTGGTCAAAATCACTACCCATCCAGACAGGAGATGTTCGAACACAACCGTGGCCGTGGTTGTTGGCTCCCCTCAAATCCTGGGGCCCTCTCCATGCCAGGGATAGCCTTATGTGGCAGGAGGGCACTGCATGGTCTTAGTGTGCATTAAGTGTCCTTGTGTCCTGCCAGGCTCCAGGCAGGAGTGCCCTGGCACCAAAACTCATTTCATTGCTGTCCTGGGTTTGCCAAAACTCCTCTAAAGAGCCTTGTTGTAATGGGCCATTGCTTGGTCAGTCAGGTTGGATTGTATGTGCAAAGATATTCCCTGTTTTTCTGCTTTACTTTTGTAAATAAAGTGATGTTAATTACTTTAATTTGCTCCTCATGTTTGTGATGAGCAGCAATGTTGACAAGTTACATTCTGGAATTTTTTTAGTTCTGTTTTTTATCAGACTTTTTCAAAAGTCTTTCAGCATTTTACACCAAAAAAAAATCACTCAGCTGGGGATAAGTACCTTTTTTAAAAAATTGTAGTAATACCATAACAAAGAAACTGGATACTCTGAAAATACCACTGGATCTAGTCTGGATGGTAAAAATCAATTGAACTGCGTCCCTGAACAGAATGGAAAAAACCTTAGCTGTAACAGCGTTGTGTAATCTGAGAGCCTTTCTAACTCTAGCTGAAGAAATTTATACACTTGTCAATGTACTTCTTTATACAAATTAATTTTTTCTATGTAGCTCTCCCTAATTAAAGTCAAACTCAAATGTCTATTTTGAAGTGGACTAAGTAAGTTTCTTTTTCAGTTTCCTGTCACTTGTTTTAGCCCTGGATGTTCTAATTCACTAAAAGGAACATAAAATGGATAGAAGTTTAGAAATGGGTAAACAGCATCCCACAGATATGCAGTAGGAGACCTAAGTAGTAGCTGTAACAACGTGGTTGTCCACCTGAATCATCTGGAGAAAAGGAGCTGCTTGCTGTTATTTTAGGTTATTTGCTAAACTGCTGTGGAGAAAAGGGAGCAGTGTGAGATGAGCTCGTGAAGGCAGAGGGAGGGGAAACACAGAATGGACGTCCTGTAATTCAGAACTAAACTGCAATAACTGCACTCCATTCCATTATTTTTCACATTTTTTATGCCATTTGAATAGTTTTGTGAGAAAACATTTTTATAATCAGTTCATGACATTAGTTCATTTTTATATTTTAATTGGAAATTAATCTGGATTAGATACAAAGCCAAATGATACCTTCCTTACGCTGTCATTGGCCATAAGGTGATGCCAGCGTGGAGCTGAAGCAATAACTCATTACCACAGTTTGTCGTTCCTAGGAAACCAGAATTCGAGCTGTGGATAAGGACTCCAGGAGGAGAACTAATAACTTCTCTGTTATCAACCCTGTGTCTGGAGAGGCTGTGATGCAACGCTTTGCTACTGACAGTAGGGATGAACTTCACAAGTGGATGGAGGCTTTCTGGCAGCACTTTTATGATCTGAGTAAGTAAGCAGGCAGTGCTGGCAGCGTGCCCTCCGAGTGGGGCGTTATGTAACATCAAAGGGATCTTTGAGCAATTGGAATTGGAATTGCCTCATAAGCCTTTGTTTGCCACGACAAGAAGAAAAATGTTCTCTGGGATAATATTGGGTGGTGGTCTAAGCCATTGAAAGGCAAATATTTGACTAAACCAAAGTCCGTGTGTTCAGTCTGGTTTTTTGCAGGAAACCAGAGGCAGAATATGCTCATCAATCTCAAAAGGACCTGGTCACTTTTGGCAGTTTTCTAGATAATTTTTTTTTAGGGACTGCTAATTTCTCACCATCTCTTCCTTCACTCTGGTGGCAAGAGTCCACCTCTGCCTGGGCATCCTACCGGTGGTGTGTTGTTTTTGTGAGATTCTGCAAGTATGAAACCTTAGTATGGAAGCCTTAGTGGGAAGTGGTGAGGATGCTGGAATCATCTGAGGCCTTGTTGTGATGTGGATTCAGCCAGTTCTTTCAACTAGGCACATGTCCATGGGATTTCCTAGCTCAGCAGTGTTATGGATGAATTAAATTGCAATTTGTTATAATAGGGATTACTTGATTCTGTTGGTAATTCAAAGGTTTTGGTACCCCTTGTCACACAGAGATATGCTCACCAAGCCACACTCCAGTCCAGTCACGCAAACACAGGCTGCTTACCTGAACCTGGCAAAAACTGGACCTGAGGCTTTATAACAGATTTTAAATTGTCACCCTGATGCTTTGGCAAACTTCTGGAACAACACTGATCTTACATGAGAGAAGAAACTCATTTATTGCTGTGAAACATTATTAAAGTAGTATAGTGTGTTGCTTGTTTAACACCAAATATTCATTACAAGAACTACACAGATTAATTTGCCTGTGTCTTTTTCCTCTGCTTTAGTAGTTTGACTTATAAGAGTTACTGAGTAGAGGTTGTCAGTTGTGCTGCCATTGACAAGGTAGATTCCTGATAGTCATTTTTATCGGGCCAGGAAACAGAACCAGGTCAATTAATGAAATACCAGTCTTTAGTCAGAGACAACACCAATAAAATAAGTGAATTGAGGTTGTGGAAACTCAGTATTGTAGTTATAGTTCTAGTTATTTCTAGCTCTGATTTACAATGAGAAAGGACACTATCAATTAAAGAAACACACCAAGCAAAAACTAGGGCATCCTCTTTAAATTATCTGTAGAGTGGGGTAAAAGAACTACTTCTTATTCATTATAGATAGAATACCCATGGATTTTTTCAGACATTTTCCTTAGATTCAGAAAAAAATGGGTCACTTGGCATTTAAATGCCTTTTTTCTTCCCTGGTTCTAAAATTCTCTTAAAATTAATGTGCTCAGAAAACTTGGAATGATTGGTATGAACAAAGTAATTTTACTGTCTTGTTTTCCTTAAGGTCAAAATCTATTAATAGAAAAAGAGGTTTCCTTGTCTGCTAGCGGATAAAAGGCAAGTTATCCTCTATTAAAGACAGAATGTTCCTTTGCCATAACGTTGTAACGTAGCTGTATAACATCCAGCTTGCAGGATATTGGATTGTCCCTGATAACTTCATGAAGCTTCCTGAACTTTAATTTTTTTTTTTGTGGTATTTTCTTTTTTCTGATGGTTTAATACTTTGTTTGGAGTTTTACAGGCAAATTATGACCATTACCTTTCATAGTGTAACAATAGTGCTGGGATGCTTAAATTACAGTAACTCATGACCTTTGAGCTAAGATAATGAGTACAGAGGTGAAAATACAAATGCATCCTAAGCATTCCTGCTAAACAAAAATAAGTACTTGCTGTTTGGTGTTGCTTTGGAGATAGTTTCCTAACACAACCTAATAACTTCCATTTTTTTCCAAGCTGAAGTGTTCAAGTTCCAGTCATTGTTCTCTTTTCTCTCTCAGGCCAGTGGAAACATTGTTGTGAGGAACTTATGAAAATTGAGATTATGTCACCACGGAAACCACCTTTGTTCTTGACAAAGGAAGCGACCTCCGTCTACCATGATATGAGTAAGTGGGATTTGCCTTTTCAAGTTGCAGGGTAACAGAAACAACATTGTCTGTATTCAGATGGCTTCTGGTGTTGATGTTGAAATACTGAGTTTTTCAAGGACAATTCAGACAATGAAAGAGCAACATAATTGCATACCAAGGAGTTCATATTAAATCTGAATTTGTAATAGCACGAATAATGAATACATTTTTATACCTTGAGCTAAAAATTCTGCAATCTGAACTGTAACTAGAGAGCCCTGAACACACTCAGAAAAGCTGTCACTAGAAATAAACATTCATGGTAAGAGTAGTATAAAGCTCAGGAAATGTAAAGGTAAAATAGTCCAGCCTGCAAACCAATTGTATGAAATTAATCTGCTGATCTTAAAGCTATTTAAAGGCTTACCTAGCATAACTTACCTAATTATTTGGTCTTTGATAATGATACTGAAAAATATGCTTGAAAAACCTGTCTAGAGTGTATTTGAGACTTGTATTTTCGCAGAGCAAAATGGTATGCAGCAGGATTACTTTAATAGTTTCATTACAAAAATAATATTTACAGACCAGAAAAAGTAGGTCACTTTGTTTTAATGGATCCAGTGCAGTATTGACTGAGAAACCCTGTGCAACTCTGAATGCCTGACTGCTTCCTGCTTGGGATGGCAGCTGTGAAGATGCTCAAAATGCCGTGTGGGTCACCGAGTTACTGTGCATCAGAGCACTGAACAGTCGAGAGAGTCTTATCTAAGCTATGAATGCAGGGCGGAAATGCAGTAAATGAACCACATGGAAGTTCTACGAAGGTAACATGGTAGCATAATTCCACTGATAGACCAGTTCATCAGTGAGGAGCAGAACATAAACTGCTTCACTCTCAATACACCATTTTTCCCCCTGCTTATTTATAGTATTTGTATTCCCCTGTACTTGGCACTGGTGAGGCCACGCCTCAAATCTTGTGTTCAGTTTTGAGCCCCTCACTACAGGAAAGACACTGATGGGGCTGGAGTGTGTCCAGAGAAGGGCAACAGGGCTGGGGAAGGATCTGCACCACAAGTCTGATGAGGAGCAGCTGAGGGAGCTGGGGGTGTTTAGCCTGGAGAAAAGGAGGCTCAGGAGAGACCTTATTGCTCTCTAGCTTTACAAGAAAGGAGGTTGTAGCCAAGTGATTCTATAAGTAAAACTCTGTGTTTAAACATGTGTTGAAAATCATTAATGTATGGCCTGCAACCCAGAAGATACTGCTGCTGTTTGAGGCTGGTATTACTTCAGTATACATAGAAAACTCAGAAAGAAGAATAAGAAATGGAGCAAGGCAATCTTAAACCACATAGAGAAAAATTATATATGTAAAGATGTCCCATTTTCAGCAGGCTGGCAGCACAATAATATTTAGTCATAAACTTTTTCATCAGTTTTTCATGTGAAACGAAATTTTCAAAGTACTACACAACAAAATGTGTTTAATATCTAGTATGTACAGGTTTCCCAGTACATTATTTTTTCTATTTTTACTTGGAAAGAAATATCAGTGCCCACCCTCTTGCCTGAATGCCAGTTGTCACAGAAACAGTTCCCTCCTGTCCCCTCACTTCTCTCTGTGAAAGCATATGCAATCTTTTCCTTTTCATCCATTAATACTCCTAAAAGTAATCCAGATTTCACAAGACATTGTTAATACAGTTTTGTATTCTAAGTACTAATAACAAAATAGGTAGTAGTAAAAGCATTGGTAGTGCTTTAATCTGAGTTAATTGCTATCCCTTAAAATTACAGGCATTGATTCTCCAGTGAAACTTGAGGGCTTAGCTGATATCATACAAAGGAAAATTGAGGAGAGTGATGGTGAGTTCCTTCTTGGCCAGCGAAAAGAGTCTGCATCTGCCCTATGGGCTTCACTCTTTGATGGATCTCATGAGATGACTGTTCAGAAGAGCCTGCCTCTGGACCCAAAAGGAGATACTACCAGTCCTAATGACAGCAGAGGAAAGAAAAGAAGAGCTCCACCTCCACCCTCTGATAAGTCACCATACAGTGCAAAAGCACAGGTGAACACAGAGCAACTGGGCAAAGAAAACTGGGGGAAGCTTGACCACAAATCTGCCAGTAGTTCTTCCCTTGAGTCAGCATTGGCCACGAAAATGCAGCAGCTGCAGACACCTGTTGCTGCTCCTCGCAAAATTGGTCCTTGTAGAAAAAGCAGTTTAGCTGGTCAGGGGAATCCCATTTCTCTGGTTAGCAAGACCAGGTCTGAAACCAAACCAGTACCAACCCCTAGACAGAAAGGCATCACAGAACTACTAGATCCTAGGTCTTGGTTGCAGCCATAGATGACATAATTAACTTAGAAGAGTCCTTGGAATTTAAAGTTTCTCAGCCTTCTACTAATACTCTTCAGTAAAAATAGATTTTAGCATATAGCTTTTATGTATTGAGGCTACAGTGTTTTTCTGTTTGCCAGGGCATTACCAATAGCTGCAGTCTCAGCTGTGCTCATTAGCACTCACATCTAAATAATTGCACTAGAACAGGGGGAATTCTCCCTATCTGGAGTAACGGTGCTATTTAGGAAAACAGTGGTTTGGTACTTTCCTCTTGAAGAACCAGCAGTGTTCAGGGTAACTTCAGCATCCCCACAGCACAGGTCTTACCGGTGCCTTCTACCAGTCCTCCAGCTTAGCCCACCTACAGCTCCTGAGACTACTTCAAGTGGGATTTCACACACATTCATCACAGATCTTGCAAAGCTGATTTTCTTGGGCTCCACACTTGGCTCCACCTAAAATATCCTTATCTCTCCCTCATTGTTTGGGAACAGCTGCTTATATGGTAATCTACCATGAAAAGTTACTGTGCTGTTCTGAGCACTCTATATGAATTTCTGAAGCAGTTCTATCAATTACTGTGGGATTTCCCAAGTTCTTGCTGGTTCATGTGCTTTCCAAATGGGCCAGGGTTATCTGTCTGTGAGCAAGGATATGATCCATCACTGCTGCTTATTTCAGACTAACACTGTTTAAAAGCAGTGCTGTGTATGAGCACTCAGGATTTCATCTCATGGTTGTTTTTCCTGATCAGTGTGGCTCGGTAGCACCGCTTCTCCTTTGTGGAGCCCCTCAGCTGTTCCTGGTAGGGAGCTGGTTTGTAAACATGGCAACATTACTGGTAAACAAACAGGGATTTTCACCACTTGTCCTTTCTGCAACAGCATGGAATAAATACCTCAGGTGAAAATACTGAACGCTGATATTCTTCCATCAGACTGTTCACGGTTTCTGTAAGAAGCATGGGTTGTCAGGGTTCCTGTGGCACCTGCAAAACATCTATTGCATACGGAAAAGCTGTGTTCTCCTGGATCCACAGCTTAAATATCCAACCCTTTCCTTGGCTTATACCTTTATCGCAGATGCTGGAACTCATCCAAGAGCAAAGGTCTGCTTGCAGATCTCTCTCTAGAGCCTTGGTACTCTGATCTGTCTTGAGAGGGTCATATCAGCAACTGTATACATACAGTTCATTAGTTGTTTTTTTTTTTCTAAAGCATGGATGGCTTTGGGAGTTTTACCATTTCTCCAGAAGGCAGTGTGGGCATGGTTGGTTGGTTTATTTTATCTATCTTTTGTCTTCTGCTGAGCTCTTGGCTGCATAGCTGTAAAGGTATCTGCTGAATTCCCCCAGTAGTTCATTGGCTATTTGGGATGGGGCTTGAGAGGCAGGTTTCATTTACAAATCCTTCCGCGGGATTAGAGCCCTTTGTTTCTAGAATGTCCTTGTTCATTCTTCATTTAATCACATTCCATTTCCCTCTGAAACAACCATAATCATTCTTACAATAAATCATGCTGTTACTTAAGTGGATGGTTTGTGAATGGTTTATAAATAGGGACAGAAAAACTGAAGAATAACTACATGATTATGTAAATCAGGCAGTTGACTAAGTGGACTGTACAACTCTGAACAAGGAATAGGAAAATAAACAGGGGGAGAAAGCATATTTTCCAAAATGCAGCTTATTTAGCTTTAAATCTAGTCTTCAATGTTGCTGTGCTCGGAAAGAAAAAAATACCTTTTTCTTGGTAACCCTCTTCCATTTAGTGGTTATATTTAAAAATAAATCTCATAAATATATAAGGCAAGAAGGCACCATAATGAGGATTTATTTTTAAATTCAACAGGCCATTGAATTTCAACGAGCAGTTTCTCTATTAAATTCAGTGGCTTTGTTTTGAACTGAACATACATATTTTAGCAAGGCATTTAATATTAATTTGAAGTCTTCAAGTGATGAGAATTCAGTCATACCTCCTGTTGCAATAGTTAATTACCCCAGGTACATTTTTCACTTGATTTTCTATTTGCATTTCTAGCTCCACCTTAAGTTATTTTGGTCTTTTTATGCATTTGATTGCCTATATTGATCTCTGTAGTATCAGCTTTTCTAATTGCTTGTGTGTAGCTGTAAATCATGATTATGTCCCTTTTAACCTTTTCTCTGATGAGACGTACTGAATTCCTTAACTTTCTTGTGGCAGTGAATGTTATCCAAGACTAATTAATCTTCACGTTCTTCTCTGTACTTCTCGTGTATAGAAATATTTTTAAGGGTGGCATCTGAATGAGATGCCACATGTCAATAGAGATCCATCAGGACTGTATAGAGACACAACGTGATCCTCTTACTCTGATGAATATCTCCCTCTCCTCTTTCCTCAAAAATTGCATTATGCTCTTTTTTTGTGGAAGCATTGCCTTGGATGCTGACTTTTATGGCTCAAGGCTTCTTCGGAGTCTTTCTCAAGAATGCGGTACATCATCCTCTTATTATCCTACCTTATATTTTCTTAGAAATACACACTGTATTTTACCACATTAAAATACTGCTTATGAAGTGATCCAGATTGCTCTGTGTAAGTGACCTGTCCTCGTTCTTTACTACACCAGCAGTCTGCATGTCCTTTGCAAATTTATTGCAAGTGATTTTTACAGTTTCTTCCAGATCATTGATTTTTAAAATTGAAGGCAAGGTTTGTAGAGAGAGTGATAAGTTTTTATTACATCAGTGACATGGATAAGGAGGTGGGGAAAAGCAAACAAGACAGGCCATGGAGTTGCTTTTAATGGAAAACAGCTATAATTGTTGCTGAATCCCTATTAATACTGTATTTTTAAATTATTTTTCTGTCTTCAGCATATTAATTTGATCTAGTACTGATATTTTAAAGCAAATTACATGTTCACATGTTCAGTAGGTGACTTAGGGTTCTTGTGGGTAACATTTCAGTGCAGGTGTCTTTGCAAGCCAAGCTTACTATATCGAAGAGTGAAATGCAACCTGTTGCTCAAGACCTGTTCTCCATGACGCTGTGTTTATTTATATTTTATATCTCTCCTTAAGTTGGGCTCATGTGGGCTAGTTCATTATAGTGCTGTGCTCATCACTAAACAAACTAGGCTATTAATTACCCTGCTCATCCTGCTTCAGAATTATATGATCCCTATTATGAAGCAACAGTTGACTTCAGGTTTCAGTATTTATTGTTGCTGACTTAGTCTTCCTTCTGTTTTTCCCTCCTTCTTATTGCCAATATTGCCTTTGCATTTTCTGTTAAGCAAGATGGTTTAACTAATAAAACCTGTGGGCTACCAGCCAACAATGGTCTTAGCTGTACAGTAAAGTCAGTTTTAGGAAATACATTTGTACTTAACTTTTGTCTATGCAGTAGAACATAAATATTAGTAATAAAAGAGGAGCACAATTTTAGGAATATAATTAGAGGATACATCTGTGAGGAAAGTTGATGTTTTTTGTCTTTTCCATATAGTTTCAAATTGTAATACTTTACTACTGGTACTGGTCCCTTATCATTGTATAGACTTCTTCAGAAATTAGAACTATCCCTTTGTGTTTTTTCACAAGTTTTCCTGACTGTAGTGAGGATGAATATTCAAAACAGGCATTAGTACCAGTAAGTTGTTTGTGCCCAGCACTCTATGAGGAGGAAGCCAGGTCTGTGGCAGTGTGGTACAGTGGTGGTTTAAATTTGGTGCTGATTCAGCTCCCATGCTGTGAGGTTTGAAGGGTGATGGTCACTGAATCCCATCTTTTGGCAGCACATGGAGCTAGGGAACTGTTGGCTTTTGTCCTTCCAAGGGGAAGTGAGGGGAGTCAAGAGGCAGAAGGTGCCTGTTCCATATGGGAAATGCTACTGCTGGGCAGTGAAAGAGAATGTAACCATTACACCATCTTATCAGCTGCAATTAATCATGAGGGTGCTTTGACTGCATGACTCAAAATATCAGAACCCAAAAGTCATTTGATAACACATGTAAATGATGCCGAAATAGGAACTACTTCACAAAGGCACAGGAGACATTAGCCAGCCTCCTGTTGGGACAAGGCTTGGAGGACAGCAGGAGACCTGTGGCTTCTCCCAGCCCTTGCATCCCATTCCCGTGTTCCCATTTGTGCAGGCAAGCTGGAGCACTGCTGCCTGACAGGGAATTCCATGGAAAAACGGTATTTGTTCAGAGACCCTGAGCCCAGAACACATGGCTCAAGAGACTCAGTGTAGCACAGGGAAGACACTGGTGGCATCTGCTGAACTACACATGGGATGAGGTACTTCTGTGAGGAACATGTCAGGCCTGCTCTGAAAACTGTACCTGCTTGTTGGCTGGTGGAATGAGTTAACGCTGCTTAAAAGCAGAATTAAGTGGTGGAATTGCTGCCTTGAAGTCGGACAGAGACAGGAGTCAGCCTGAACTCCTCTTTTAGGAAATACAACTTGAAAGTAATTGCTAGTCCAAACTGGAATATGAATTTTACAGAACATGAACAACTTTTTAAATATTGACTGAATAAAGACTTAATGTGGTAACTTCTTATATTTAGCTAATGTTTTCAGCTGTTTACTTGGTCTTGGAATGGTAGATGGTACCTTTTGTGATTTTTAAAGGCATTAGCTTCAAATGTTTACATTTTTACTAGTATTGTGATTTTTTTTTCTATGGTAATAAAACTAATAGTTATTTTATGGTGGTTTGTACATATTTGGAAATGCTGTCCTAGTATTCTGAGTTGATGTGTAATTAATGCAGATTGCCTTAATAGAAAAATGCAGATTTGGACACTAATGTATTGTGAAATGTTAGAACAGAAATCTTCCTTTTTATTTTTTTGCTATTAAAATATGTAAGTGAAATTAAAAACATTTCTAGAATGAAAAGGTTTTAGTGTAGTTTTCTTCAGCCTGGAACTACATTAAGTTCTGCTCCAGTGTCTAAACCGTGGGTGATGGATGCTGTAAAATCAGAGAGCTCAGGGGTAGCTACTTTTGCCCTGGGCCTGTTGTTACTGTGCCCCTCTAGGCTTGCACTGGTAACAGCAAACAGAAAACCTCAGTTTTCTGAACTGGAGGAAGGGAGGAAAAGCCATTTAACTGGCTGAGCAATGGGTGCTGGCTGCCATGCAGTGTACTCAGCAGATGGATCCCTGTGCATATAGATAAAGTCAGAAATGTACCTGAGAAGCCCCTTGTTTCCACAACACTGTAGTTTAGGTGCTATCTTACTTCTCTCGTGGACTTGCAGGAAAACACGCCATGAAGCAGATTTACGTCATTCTGTCTGCTTTGTAAGGTGGCTTCATAAATGAGCCACTGACACTACTGATCCCATCCATTAATTGTTTTTCCTTTCACAGGCAGCCTTGTGCTGAAGTGGAGCTCCCGTTTGCCTCACTGGCTGGAGCTCAGTGTGGCTTTGCTAATTCAAAGCCAACTGTGCCGCTCAAGTGAAGTGTTCTTTTGGCCCAGTTATAAAATAACTGTAATAAACATAGAGGGAATTGCTAGATGTTTTAATTTTGGGATATTTGACTAATTTAAGAGTCCATAAAACAAACAAAGTGGGATTCATATTTCCAAGGCAAGGCAATGCAGATGAGTGATTTAATGAAAATCTTGCTGTAGCTAAAGCTGCTGCAGTTTGCTTTAAGGGATCATGGTAATGTAAGATATGATGATCTTTTCATGTAACCATTTGCAAATGATTAAACTGTAATTGTTCCATATACGTATTAAATACAGAAAAAAAAGAGTTTGTGAGACATCAACATAAATTGCTTTTCATGAGGAAAGAACAATCTTTCAAGATTTTTTATATCAAGATAGCTTTTCAAATGTTCTTTATGTACCTCCCCAAAGGGAGAAAAATTATAATAACTAGTGAAGTGTCTTTTATTCTGTTAAGGCTTTTCTTCACAGTTCTATAAACTTCTTGCAAAATAGTTACAAAAGAATATTGTTTATTATATACATTGTCTTACCTGAAGGTTTTATTTTCGCTCTTGTCCAGTGTCAGAAGGTGATACAGGAATACCTGCAGAAGGAAGTTGTGGAGTTGTTTCATACACAGAGCGCTTCTTCCCAGCCCTTAGTAATTACAAGCTCTTTTATATGCAGACGTGGGAAGCCTTTTAGTCTGTCAAAGTTTCACTGTATGTCTCTGTCTGGACATGAATTCATAGTAGCAGTTAAAAGTAAAAAAATTGTATTTTTTAATTTACTTAAATTTTGGCATCACTGTTGCCTCATAGGACTTGCAGTTTGCTGATATGCCATGAGAGTTTTCTTTCCAAACTTTAAAATTTGTACATTTTCTTTTGCTAAAAGGGAAAGAGTCAGCATTTGTCCTCACATTCCCTTTTTTTTTTTTTGTCATTGGCTATAAAGGTGGTTCCAAAACACAAATACCTACTTAAGTTTTTTCACCCTGAAGGCACAGTCCCAGTCTCTTCTATCTTTTTTTTGATTATATTTTCCATTTTCTAATTAGTGTCTATTTCAAAATCCCACATGTATTTTGACAATATCTTTCTTGAATGGGGTGCCCAGAGCTGAACAAGCACTGCTCGCTCAGGGGAACCCTTGATTTACAAGAACAGAATATGTTCATTAGTATTGTCTGGTTTAGCTGCTCATTCTGCGTTAGTGAAAACCAAACAAATATTTCTGTCGCTCTGTGGCTGGAATGGTCTGTGCTTAAATAAAGATGTAACTTGGGAAAGAGAAGAAGATCTTAGTGCTGTTATGGTGAGCTTAACATCTCCCTTACAAATTTCTCAATAGCAGGAAAAATTGTTCTGGCTGCATGGCTGGCACGAGCGAGCTGCTTTGTCCTCCCAGCATTTGTTTTTCAGATGGCAGCAGCTGCTTTACTTCCTCCGGTTTTGAGAGATCATTACTCTTCAGTCCCTCACGTCTGTACGCGAGGGTTGAGAGCTTTTGAAATAAACTGAGAGCAATTTAACTGACCTTCCCGTGATGTGGATGGATCAGCTGTGGTGCCAGTTGCCGAGGTACTGAGCTGACAGATTCTCAGCCTGTGCATTTGGCTTTTGGGAAAACTGAAGGCCTGTGGCAACTTTGCCTTTCCTCTGAACCCCGACTTAGTGACTGGACCCAGAGGACGAGGCTGCTCTTCTCACCACCGTAGCTTTGTCACATGGCACAGACTACTTGATGTGGAAGAAACATTGCTCAAAGGTTAGTAGAGTCTAAAATTTTATTAACTAAATGGAAAGCCTTTTATTAAGGACAAATCCTAATAATGGTATTCCATGCACAGTTCCAGGTTAAATTGGATTTATTATACCATGCCCTAATCTATCAGGATTTTTCTATTATTTTAATAAGAGTTCATTTGTGTGTCTAATAATACATCACATTTTACTCATGACCTCATTAGAAAGTTTCTTAAATATTTGCTCGATCATTACCCTACAGTAAAGAAGGATAAAGGTCTGCTGTCTTGGGAACACCTCAGGTTTATCCCAGCTCATGCAATAGCCACTTGAGCCTACAGACTGATGCACACTTTTCCATTCATTCATTTAAAATAATTGTATAATTCCTTAGCAAGTAAAGTTAGTGATTTCCAAGCATTAATGCATAACCTGCTATTTACATTTTTCATAAGGATAAACCACAACATATTGGTCTCCTCCTACTCTACAACTTGCTTTAATGATTAATATAAATTTCAGCAATTATTTGTTTACTTGGATTTTTCGACATTTTCTTCACCAGGGCAATTTCTGTGAACCATACCTGCAAAAAAAAAAAAAAAGAGACAGAAGGAAAAGATAGAGCCAATTATTTAGTTAGGCTCCATCTGTCTCATGTTGAAGCATTAAAGAGAGCCAAGGGTTGCTGCAGAAACAATTATTTGAATCAGGGTACATAGCTACAAGTGTATAAATTCAGTTTGGGCTCCCTCTGATATTAAACAAGAGTCAATGCAGGGGCCGTGGCTTCTCCGCTCTTCATTTATAAATAGGAACAGTTGTGACAGAAGTTTCCATCACACTTTTTGAGATATTAGTCCTTAGTGGTGCTGGATTTGGCAAAACAGTGCAATGTTCATGACTGTGACCTAAATACCGCCATCCTCACAGAACTTCTGAAGTGGGGGCATGCAGGAAAGGAAAAAGAATTCTAGTTCTCCCCATTTCTAGAGAGGTGACGCTGGCAAAGCTACTTTTAAGGTAAGAACAGGGTAGTTTGAACTGTTACAAGTGTGATGTGATGCCCAGAATCTCAATTAGGATGTTTTCTGAGAAGCCACCTGACGTTATCGCTGCCCTTCAGCTTACTGTGCGACCTTCTCAGCTTTCTATAGTGACATAATATTCAGAGATGATATTGTTTAGTCTCATACTACACTTTTGAAGCCCCTTACTACAGAGAGTTTTGAACCCTTAAACTCTCCTTCCCTTTTCAATGTCACTGTAGGAATTAGTCTTATCTGTCAGGAACATATTTAATCTCGACTGACTTGCAAGACACATGGGGTTATTACAGTGGCTGAAAGAAGGAAGCGTGGCTTGGGTTTGGCCAGTGCATTGCAGGCTGGGACTTGTCCATGGAGCAGAGTTTGGGGAAGCAGAGTTTAGGACTGTCTCCTGTGAAACACTCTGGTCCTCCTCATGCTATTGAAGGAGCAGCAGTCACAGACAAGGAGAGATTAGAAACCCCTTTCCAACTGACATCTTCAGTACCTGCCTCAAGCTTTAGCAGTGATCCCACTATTTTCTACAAGGCTCTGGTCCCAACAGAGCACCAGTTTGCACACCTGAGATGCAAACTCTCCTGATGCCCCCCAGGATACATGTCAGGGAGTGAATGGCACTGGCACTGCTGCCTTCCCCAGTACCACAGCACACCAAGACACTTCTGCCCAGCCAGGTCCAGAGCTGAGATCCCAACATGCTTTTTAACCCACTCCAGTGCAGCTGTCACAGGGAGAAAGTTTTAAAGTGTTTTATAATGATTAAGCCTCAGAGTACCCTTTGGGTTAATATTTGTACGTCACGAGAAGTCGTCAACGGAGGTTACTTGTATGAAATATCCATGTGTCAGCCTTCATAGACCTGATCGTGCTCAAGTTTGTTTGCCCTTTTAGCAGCACCCTGATCCTATAATCAAATTATATGTATAAGTTCTGGTTTTGATAAACTAAAACTTAAAAGAACAAACAAGCAAATGAGCTTTTCCACGGCCGCCTCCTCTGCTGAGTGCAGTGTTTCCAGGTCCTCATCCAGAGCTCCCTGGAGCAGGGCTCCAGCTTACGGAGCCACAGTCCCTCCTGGCATTCTCATTCATGCATTCTGTCAAACAACATTTTCTTTGATTTTTTTATCAAGATCTTCTTGACTGAGATCTTCAAAGCAATTAATTCAGTGCTCCATGATTGCAGCTGCTGAATAATTGTTTGTTAGAGTGTTTTCTTTCCCAGGCAAGAGATGTAAAATAGTTGCTCCCCTCAATAAACAAGTTGTCAAATGTGATTAGTTAATGGACCTGTAATCATGTGATAGCATAAAGGTAAGGATTTGGTAAGTGTGATGTGAAAATGCATATTTAAATTAAAGCTATAGGGGAACATTTTCCCATAGGAACTCTTTCTATCGATGCTGCAATAGACTATTTACCATTCATAATGATTAAGGGTAGATCATTATTAAAGAAAACAAGAGATTAGTCATCAAGCATTTCAAATTAAAGATACATTGATTGTTTGAGTTACTTTTGGGTCTGGGTGGGAGATCAGGTTAGTGCCAAGGTCCCCACGCCTGAGCTGGCCTTCCCATATAAAAACTGATATGCAGAATTAAAAGCCTTTTAAAATTAAGGTCAAAAATTTACTGGCCAATATAAGCTCTAAG